TTCTGTGACATTTTGCCACAGTTGTGGATTCATGTAACCACCACCACCAAACTACAGAACTGTTACATCACCACAAACATCTCCCTTTTTCTACCCTATTGTAGTCACACCCACTCCTCCTCCCAGTAGCTACTAATTTGTTGATTTTTATAATTTGTAGTTTTGAGAATGTTATGGAATCATACAGCGCATGATCCTTGAATTTGTCTTTTTTCATTCATGCTTTGGAGATCTGTCCAAGTTGTTGCCTGTATCAGTAGTTTGTTCCCTTCTATTGCTGAATGGTATTCCAGAGTATGGATATACCAGAATTTGTTTAACTATGTACTGACCGTAGGTTATTTTGGTGGTTACAAGTTGCTCAAGATTCTCCAAACCGGGCTTCAACAGTACGTGAACCCATGAACTTCCAGATGTTCAAGTTGGATTTTGAAAAGACAGAGGAACCAGAGATCAAATTGCCAACATTTCATTGGATCATCAAAAAAGCAAGAGAATACCAGAAAAACATCTACTTCTGCTTCATTGTGACAAAGCCTTTGACTGTGTGGATCACAACAAACTGTGGAAAATTCTTCAAGAGATGGGCATACCAGACCACCTGACCTGTCTCTTGAGAAGTCTGTATGCAGGTCAAGAAGCAACAGTTAGAACCGGACATGGAACAACAGACTGGTTCCAAATTGGGAAAGGAGTACGTCAAGGCTATATATTGTCACCCTGCTTATTTAACTTATATGCAGAGTACATCATAAGAAATGCTGGGCTGGATGAAGCACAATTTGAAATCAATATTGCCAGGAGAAATATCAATAACCTCAGATATGCAGATGACATCACCCTTATGGCAGAAAGCGAAGAAGAACTAAAGAGCCTCTTGATGAAAGTGAAAGAGAAGGGTGAAAAAGTTGGCTTGAAACTCAACATTCAAAAAACAAAGATCATGGCATCTGGTCCATGATTATGGCATCACTTCATGGCAAATAGATGGGGAAACAAAGGGAACAGTGGCACACTTTATTTTTCTGGGCTCCAAAATCACTGCAGATGGTGACCACAGCCATGAAATTAAAAGATGCTTGCTCCTTGGAAGACAAACTATGACCAACCTAGACAGCATATCAAAAAGCAGATATTACTTTGCCAACAAAGGTCCATCTAGTCAAAGCTATGGTTTTTGTAGTAGTCATGTATGGATGTGAGAGTTGGACTATAAAGAAAGCTGAGCACCGAAGAATTGATGCTTTAGAACTGTGGTGTTGGAGAAGACTCTTGAGAGTCCCTTGGACTGCAGGGAAATCAAACCAGTCCACCCTAAAGGAAATCAGTCCTGAATTTTCATTGGAAGGACTGATGCTGAAGCTGAAGCTCTAGTCCTTTGGCCACCTGATGCGAAGAACTGACTCATTGGAAAAGACCCTGATGCTGGGAAAGATTGAAGGCAGGAGGAGAAGGGGACGACAGAGGATGAGATGGTTGGATGGCATCACTGACTTGATGGACATGGGTTTGAGCAAGCTCCAGGAGTTGGTGATGGACAGGGAAGCCTGGCGTGCTGCAGGTCTTGGGGTTGCAAAGAATCAGACACGACTGAGTGAACTGAACTGAACTGAATAATAGTGCTATGAATAATCATACACAGGTTTCTACGTGAACACTTGTTTTCATTTCTATGGGATAATATCCAGGAATGCATTTGCTGGATCACATCATAAGTGTATGTTTAGCTTTGTTTCCAGTGACTGTACCATTTTCCCTGCCCACCAGCAATATATGAGAACAAGTTTCTCCACATTCTTGCCAGCATTTGGTACTGCACTGTTTTTCATTTTAACTCTTATAATAGGCGTGTAAAGTGTTATCTCATTTTCCTACTGACTGGTACTGCTGACTATCTTTTCAGGTGCTTATGTGCCATCATGGGTGAAATGTTTCCATGTGTCTTGTCCATTTTCTGTATAGATTGTATTTTGACTTAAATTTGTTTTTAGTTTTTTTTTTTTAGAGAAGAAACAGTTATTAAAGGGGGAGGGATAAATTAGAGGAGTTTGGGATTAGTAGGTCCACACTACTATATATAAATATAACAGATAACAAGGCCCTGTGTATAGCACAGGGAACTAAATTCAATATCGTGTCATAAACTATGATGGAAAAGAACCTAAAAAGAGTAATATATACAGATACACACACACAGACTGAACCACTCAGCATTGTAAATCAACCATATTTCAATAGAAACTTTTAAACGGGAGGATAATTGCTTTACAGCGCTGGGTTGGTCTCTGCCATGCAACGTAAATCAGCCGTAAGAACACATATGTCCCCTCCACGCCCCCATCCCACCCCTCTGGGTCATCACAGAGCCCGGAGCTGAGCTCCCGGTGCTATCCCGCAGCTTCCCCCAGCTAACTATTTACACACTGAAGTGTATATACATCAACACGACTCTCGATTTGTCCTTCCTCTGCTGTGTCCGCAAGTCTGTTCTCTATGTCTGTGTCTCTATTCCTGCCCTACAAATAGCTTCATCAGTACCTGTTCGCTAGATCCCATATGTATGCATTAATATCTGATATTGTTTTTCTCTGACTTCACTCTGCATAACAGGCTCTAGTTTCATCCACTGTTAAATTTTGAGAGCTGTTTATGTATTCTAGATATGGGTCCTTTGTCAGCTATGTGGTTTGCAAGTATTTTCTCCCAGGGCTTTGTTCTTCCATTCTTTTGACAAGAAACAGCAAATAATTTTGATAAAGTCCGATTTACTGATTTTTTTTTCTCGTTTATGAATCAGGCTTCTGCTGTCATGTCTAACAACTCTTCACTAAACCATACCTCTTGTCTTTCAGAGGTACATGTCAGCCTACAGATGCAGTGAATTTAACAGCTATGAGATGCTTTTAGATTTTTAATATTCCTATTCCAGTTTGGGCAGATTGTATTTTTCTGGGAAATACTTTGTTTTGAAATTTATCAGCAAATTTGAGTCACCTTTTGAAACCTGTAGTTTTGACTCCTTGTTCCTAGTACTGTTTATTTGTGCGTCTCTTTTTTTCTCTCTTGAACCATTCTATTGTTCATCTCTTCCTAGTTCATTAATTTCCTTCTGCTTTCCTTGGTTTGCACCAGGGATCAGCCAACATTTTCTGTAAAGAGCCAGACAGTAAATATTTTAGGCTTGGTGGCTGGAGAGTCTTGGTCACAATTACTCTGCATCATGGCACAAAAGTAGCCACAAACAGCATGTGAATGAATGTGCACGGCCGTGTCCCTTAGCACTAATGGACAACTCACGAATGACATTTTCAGGCAGTTCAGTGCTGGAAGTGTTCCATCTTAAATATCACCTGAATGGGGCATAGAATATAAGTTGACAATGATTTTCTCTTAATGCTGTAAAGACTTACTCCACCATCTTCTGTCATTGCTGGTTAAGAGAATGGTTATTTGTTCCTTGAAAAATCACCTCTTTTCCATTCGTTTTGGTGGCTTTGAGGCCCTCTGCTTGGGTTTTCCACAGCTCCATTCTGATGTGTCACGGTAGAGGTTTGTTTATCATGTTTGGTACACACCGTGCTTTTTTGTGGGGGGTGGGTGCACCACACAGCATGTGGGGTCTTAGTCCCCTGACCAGGGACCAAATCCCCGCGCCATGCATTGGAAGCTCGGAGTCCAAACCACTGGACTGCCAGGGGAGTCTCACTGCGCTTCTTGGATCTGAGAACTTTCTCATTCTAAAATTCTCACTTCATCTTCCTCCTCTCCCATTTTCCAGTTAATTTTCTCTTTTGCTATTAACAACTTACTGACCAGAGACAAATTAATACGTTTTTGTTACCTAAATGTTATAAAATGTTATAGAATATTGACACCTATCAATATTCACTTACATAACAAATTGCCAGCCCCAGGCATTGGTTTCTGGAAAAATCACCTGGATCAATAATGCGTTGTCTTAAATTTCTGTGAATATTTTTTCATTTCTAGAAATCAGTTCTGGAATTGTGCTTATCTTTGATAATCTTTAATTCCAGCATCCAAAAGTCTTGGAGAAGGACTTTCTCCTTGACCAGACTCTACTCAGGCTCCTTAGAACTCTTCTCAACTAGCTCCTGACTTTTGGGCTTCCATGGCCACGTCTTCATTGTCCAGTTTTAGCAGGTCAGTACCTTTATCAGGATCCTCCAGAGTTGATCACCTTGACCTCTGCAACCGGGTGATGTCTGATCTCCCTAGCCTGCCTTCAGCAACAGTTCTGTTAGGTCAGCTTAGCCAGAATCTCCCCGACCCCTCATCTTTCCTTTTAGTAACCTTCCATCCACTGGCCCCCTCTCCCCCCTGCTCCTCGTTAAGAGATGAGCCCAATCGTTCTGCCCCTACTTCAGTGGTCTGCACATCTACAGCCCCCCAGTAAAGCCTGCCTAGCTGTTCACGAGTGACAGGAACACTTGCTCCAGTATCAGGGATCCACTGCCATTGTTTGTTGCAGTCGCTGACATCCGTGTCTGGGTAGTGGGACATGAGCCGTGGGAATCACGCATGACTTTGGTTGCAGGTGTGCCCAAGCGTTCCCAGATCTTGTAGGGTATGCACATTCACATTCTCTAAGGGCAGACCTGTGGCTCTAATTATCAGCAACTGCCTGACCTCCCCAAACTCTCGTCTCCTGCACCAGAGGTCACCAGGCTCACTAGACCTGGAGTGAAGTGTGGGGGAGTTTGGGGCCTCTTTTTCTCTTTCTTAGTAACTTTCTTGATAACTCCTGGGACTTCCCTGGTCAGGGAGCTAGATCCCACATGTCACAACAAAGACCTGGCCCAGCCAAATAAAAAAATGTTTTTTAAAAGTGCTCCTTTGCACGTAACTTTGCTTTGCCTCTTAGCTCACTGTACAACAACTGAGTGTGTGTCCTCTTGGCGGAAGCGAAGAGAAAGGAATGGGTTTTCCCTCCTGGATGGAAGCAGGGGGTTAGAGTGCTTGCTGGCGCGGCCACTCACCGCATTGTGGAGGGGGGTCCACGGGCACGAAGCCCCTGGCACACAGGTGGACATAGGCGGCGGCCAGGGTGCAGGCAGGCTGGTGCTCCTGGGTGCCACAGGTGTCCCGGATGCACAGGCTGAGGAAGGGTGTTGGGTCCACCTGAAATCCGGCCCCCAGAGTCAGTGTCCCTGCCCACCGTGCCCCGGGGAGTAGCACAGACGAGAGGCGTAGGCTAGATCGGGGCGAGGGCCTCCTCTGTCCCGCAGTCCACCCGCTGCGTGGCCTCCGCGGCCACACACTCACCACTCCGAAGCAGCTTGCCAGGCTGGAGTGGGGGTCGTGGAAGAAGGCCCGGCAGGTGGGGCTCTGTTCCAGGCACACCGGCCGAGTCTTCTCCACGTCTCTGTAGTCACCAGCCAGCTGGGGGCGTGAACCCAAGACTCAGGCCTCCTGCCTGGACCTCTGTCTCCTGGGCAGCTCCACTGAGTGCCCCAGCCGCAGGGGGGGCCACCACCCCGTCGGCCTAGGATGGAGAACCTCTGGAGCCCCAGAGACGAGGTCCCTGCGCTGCTCAGGTGCACGGCCAATCCACACGGATGGTTCCCTCTCCACCCCCAGCCATGGCATCCTAGTGATGACGCCCAGGCCCGCGGAAGGGCGGGCTGGCCCGCAGCTCACCTGCCAGGCCTGGGTGAACTCCTCCAGGCTGCTGGCCAGCGTGCCATCCGGCAGCATCAGCTCATTGCTGGCCTCGTTGTCATTGGTGCCCAGAAGGCCGGCGGACAGGCCTGTGGGGCAGGGAAGGCAGGACGGGCTGTGAGAGCCCGCTGGCCAGGGTCGGGGGCATGGCCAGACCCTGCGTCCTCCAAGGCTGACCTCCCTGAACACCAGCCCTGGCTCTGAACCTTCTCTCCAGAGGGAGAGGAGAATAAGGACTGTGAGGGAAGCGTTTTTTTCCCCTCCCGGGACCTTCCCTGTCCACTGGCCCTTCCCGAGTGGCCGGGATGCACGCTCTTCATAGGTGTTCCTGGCACAGCCCAACCTGGTCATGGGGAGGGTCAGAGCCGTGGGCTCAAATCCTGGTGCCACTGCCCATGGCTGGGGACATGGGGGTGAGTGAGTTAAAGTGGGTCACCTGTCCCAGGGCACAACAGTGGGGGGATCAAAGGGGAAGGAGCTGACCATGCATCATAGCTCCTAACACAGGGCAGCGGTCAACCAGCTGGCTGCATCCAGAGTTGTACACCCCCTGGTTCGATCTCTGGGTCAGGAAGATCCCTTGGAGGAGGGCATGGCAACCCACTCCAGTATTCTTGCCCGGAGAATCGCATGGACAGAGGAGCCTGGTGGGCTACAGTCCGTAGGGTCGCAGAGTCGGACACGACTGAAGTGACCTAGCACGCTCACGCTCCCTGAAGCAGGGGCTGTCCCAGCACTGGACGTGATCAAAGCTGGCAGAGACGGGCTTTGAGCCTCTTCCAGTTCTGGGCTGTTCTGATATCCGCTCAGGCTGTGAACCCCAAGGACCAGCAGAGGCCCAGGAGCATCCCTGGGCCTCCCACCCTCATCCTCCCAAGGACACAGAGTAACTGCCCACTGGGATCTGTCCATCTCAGCCCCGGAAGCTGACTGCACTGACGCAGAGGCTGCCAGCGGGGGCCCAGACCCACCATGCTGCCAGACGCTGAGAGTCAGCCCACAGAGGCTGGCACGGACGTCACAGGTGATGGAGATGCCGTCCTCACTGGTCAGCTCAATCCTCAGGTCGTCCTTCCCAGTCTTGGTGGGAGGCAGGTCCCCGTCCAGACAGCTCTCCCCGGGCAGGGAGCTGCTGTACAGTCTGTAGGTCTGTGGGCCAGACAGGGGCTAGGACAGGCTCCACAGGGCGCACGTGTGTGGACACGGCCGGAGGCAGGAAAAGTGTCCGGGCAACCTTCCCACCCCGCTTGCACAGGCTCACCTTCAGGCTGGGGTAGAGGGCAAGGATGGTGTGGTTCAGCCCCACGGTCAGCGACGTGAGCCCCGAGCCCGCCCGGTTTAGCGTCAGCGAGAAGGTGTCATGAGCAAAGTCCTGGGCCAGCAGCAGGCTGCCACAGCGGTCACCAATGCCCCACACCCGGCCATCAAAGGTCACCACGTACCTGGCCCCAGCCACCACGGCGTGGTCTGGGGAGAAGAAGCCAGAGGCAGGGTGAGTGGGGCGGCCCTGAGCCCACAGGGCAGCCCACGGTATCCAGGGCCTGCTCCTTGGCTGGTGTCCTCAGGGGCAGCCCACCTGGGGGGCAGGGTCTGTCTCCAGGAACCCCAGCTTCAAGACACCTTGAGCTCGAGAGACGCCCCGAGGTGAACGGTGTACAGCCAAGTCAGCAACAAGAAGGAACCGAGTGGTGATGCACGTTTCAACCCCGAGGACCCTTGGAAACTCCGAGTGAGGAGCCTGGTCACGTGTTACACGATTCCTTTCATACACAGTTTGTAATTGGCAAATCCCCAAAGACAGAAAGTGGACTGGGGTGTAGCTGAGGGGTGGGGACAGAGAGCTAAGGGATGCAGGGTGTCTTTTTGGGGTGAGGAAGTTTCTGTAGTTGACCATGTTGATGGATGCACACTGGCCACTGAATCGGAGACTTTAAATGGACAACCGGCAGCCTCCCAAGGCGACAGAAATACACAGAAACAAATGGGACCTAACTAAACTTAACAAGCTTTTACACAGCCAAGGAAACCATAAACGAAATGAAAAGACAACCTACAGAATGGGAGAAAATGTTTGCAAATGATGTGACCAACCAGGGCTTAATTTCCAAAATATAAAACAGTTCATACAACTCAATATAAAAAAAAACACCAAACCCAATGAAAAAATGCACAGAAGACCTAAATAAACATGTCTCTAAAGAAGAAATAGCCAACAGGCACGTGAAAAGATGCTCAACATTATTAATAATTCAAGAAATGCAAATCAAAACTACAATGAAATACCATCTCACACCGGTCAGAATGGCTATCATGAAAAACTACCAATAACTGAACTAACCACATCATTTTATTTATAAAGATGAATACAAATGGTATTTTCCCATTTGTCTCTCATTTCTTGTCACCCTTGACGGAAGGTTAGAAGTTGTTGAATTGTACCCACGGTTCAGAAAAGACCTGAGTAGCAGGTGGATTGTAACCTCGCTGAAGCTACGGCAAAGAGACACGCTCACTATTTAAACAAAAAAAAGTACAAAGGCTCGGTCCCACAGGAGGGAGGTGCCACTTGGGCCAGCCCTGCCCTCTTCACAGTGAGCAGAAGGCGGCCCAAGAGAGGGCAGTTCTGACCCCCCGGGCCAGCAGGGGCTTGGGTAGGGAGCAGATAAGGGAAGCCCCGTCTGTTGAACACACACCCGGGCCAGCCCACGATGGCCTCACGAGGAGGGTCCCTCCGTCAGGTGTCAGAGCTGAAGGTCACACACGTGGAACCCGGGGACCAGGCTGTTTCCGGTTGCCCCGCTGCCTGCCAGACAAGTACCCCTGACTCTGGCGGCTCCCACCTGTCCTCACCTGTGTGATCACAAGACCCCCCAGGCTACACGCCACTCCTTGCCAAGCCCTGCCCACCGACTTGAGACCCTCCGGGATGCCAAAGGCACACGCCCGTTACTTCCCAAGTGAGCCACGTTGCCCCTCCGGGTGGCGGAGAGGTGAGACGGCTCGCCCGTGTACCCTCGGAGGAGAGAACGCAAACTCCCAGCCGGTCCCGGCCCCTGGAGCTGTGTCTGCTCCAGGCCCTGCCTCCAAGTCTCGCCTGACAGTCTGGACTCGATTAGTGGCCTTCTGGCTGCAACGGGAGGTCTGTTTTATGCTTTCCCTGCAGAGTCCACCCCGGAGAGAGCTGGCCTGGTCCTCAGCCACTCGCCATGCCTCCATGCTGGGCTTCAGGCTCAGGCTGTGACTTTCTGGACAAATGCCTTGGATCCACAGCCCAGCCCTAGTCCTGTGTGGCCCTGGGAAGCCCAGTGGCCTCGGCACTCGGCCTGGGAGTAGATGGGCCCAGAACCGTGATGCTAGGGCGTCCCTGTACTAGCAAGGGACGGTCCCACTGTCCATCTGTCCCTGCCAGGTCACGCCGCTGCATCCCAAAGGGCAGAGGGGCTCCCAGAGAGGAGGGGCGCAGGACTTACATCCAGAGGGGGCCCCCAGCAGGCCGCGTTTGAGCCGGTGGTACTCGGCCAGCACGCTGGTCCCGTAGAGCGCTCGGAGCGGCCGCAGCAGCAGCTCTTCCACCAGGTGGCTGGTCACGCGGGCCACATCCAGGGGCTCGTCCCCTGCCGGCAGCATCGGCAGCGTCACCACCACCGAGCGGTCCCTGGAGGGAGCACGGAGGAGCTGGGAGACCCTGGCACAAAGGCCTCCTGACCCTTCCCAAAGTGCTTGATGGCCCAGGCCTCAGAAAGTCAGCTGGCCTTGGTGGGGTGTCCGGAGAGCAACTCAAACTCAACAGGCCAGAAAGGAGCCCCATATCCCCCACTCCCAGCACAGCAAGCGGAACGACAGCCCCAAAGACGCCCAAGCCACTGAAAGGCTACATCCCCGTAGGTGGCCAAAGGGACTTTGTAGGTGTGACCACACCAAATATTCTGAGACAGGTTAAACAGTGGAATCACAGTGGACCTTGTAAGAGGCAGGAGGGTCAGAGGAAAGATATAAGGACCGAGGTAAAAGGGGAGGAGATGCTACACTGCTGGCTGTAAAGATGGAGGAGGGGCCACGAGCCAAGGAAAGGTGGCCAGTAGAAGCTGGAAAAGGGAAGGGAAGAACCTGAAATTCATTTTGAAATTCTGACCTCCGGAATCACACGATAATACATCTTTGTTGCATTAACCCACTGAACTTGTGGTAATTTGCTACAGCAGCCATAGGCAACTAAAAAATCTCTAAGCTGATCCCTGTACCCCAGTCACCCCCCCTTACTCCACAGATGAACCCTCCACCCTTTCAGTCATCAAAGCCAAAACCCTTGGAGTCATCCCCGGCTCTTCTCTTCCACCACCTACCTCCAATCTGTCGGCCAGTCCTACAGGCTTGTTCAGAGTCTGACTGCCTCGCACAACTCCGTGGCTGCCATTGCACGGTGCAGCCACCTTCCCATCTTGCCTGGACCATTCTAAACTGGGCTCCCCACTTCTATCCCCCACTTCCTGACCCCCAGTCGTTATTCTCAACATGGGGCTAGAGGGATCTTATTAAATGACAGGTAGAGCGTGTCCTTCCTCAGCTCACAACCTTCTTTTTTTTTCCGGACCCTTTTTTTTTCCTTACTTCTTCGGCTTTCCTTTCCGGTTGCCCTTTGGTTTCTTTCTTTTTCTTCCGGCGGTTCCCTTGGGGTTGGTTTCCCCCCCCCAGGCCTTTGCCTCAGCTTTGCCCTCCTCCCTGAACCCTCTTCCCATGACCACACCTGGCTCACTTCCTCGCCCTTCAAGCTGTTCAAGGCTCAAATGCTGCCTTCTCACTGAAGCCAACCATGGCCTCACTCTTTAAAATGCCCCCATTGGCGTCTTCCCTTGCAGTCCAGTGGTTAAGACTCTGCACTTCCACTGCAGGGGGCACAGGTTCCATCACTGGTTAGGAAACTCAGATCCTGCATGCTGTGCCACATGGCCAAATTAATTCATTAAAAGGTTAATGTTTTAAAAAAAATACAATGCCCCATGTCCTTTTTTTTTTCCTGTGACATTTAGATAACATACTAGCTCAGGGGCTTCCCAGGTGGCACTAATGGTAAAGAACTTGCCTGCAATGCAGGAGATATACGAGACATGGGTTCAATCCCTGGGTCAGGAAGATCCCCTGGAGAAGGGAATGGCAACCCACTCCAGTATTCTTGTCTGGAAATTCCATGGACCGAGGAGCCTGGTGGGCCACAGTCCATGGGGTCACAAAGAGTCGTACATGACTGAGGCAGCTTAGCACACATACTACCTCAAAGGTGGGTAGACTATGGTCCGTGGCCAAATCCAGCCTCTGTCCTGTTTTTGGACAGCCTACAAGCTAAGAATGGCCTTGACATGTTCAAAGAATTCTTAACAGAAACAAAAGACCAAGGCTACGTGAGGGGCCAGCTAGCTACAAAACCTGTACACATCACTCTCAGGCCGTTTACAGGAAGGCTTGCCGCCCCCGAGGGGCAGATAACCTAGTCACTGTCTCCCCAGGCAGCCAGGGGAGGGCCAGAACCTGTCCCACTCACTACTGCGTCGGCAGCACCTAAAACCCCACCTGCTCAGAGAGAGCACTTGTAAAATATCTGCAGAATGAAGAACAGACCTGTTTCCTGATCTGTAAAATGGGGATGAAAATGCCTCCATGGCAGGGCTGGCAGGGGAGCGGATGAGGTGGAGGGTGTGCCTGGTGTGGGGCAGGGCCTCGGAGCGGGGAGTCACCTGGCTGAGAAGCTGTACATGTCCAGCAGGGGTCTGCAGAGCCGCCTCAGTGCCCGTGAGAGCGCGGCGTCGGCCCAAGACAGCATCCGGTGGGCGGCCTGGACGGGGTGGGGGCCGCGAGAGCTGTCAGTGCCATTCCCACCCGCAAGGCTGCCTCCCGCCCCTGCGCCCAAACTCACCAGCTCCAGGGCGCCACCTGTGGCCTCCAGCGCTGCCTCGAGGGGCCTGGACCCCCAGGTGCCCGGCATCCCGGACACCCAGGCCTGCAGCTGCCGCAGGGCCGCCTCCGCCCGTTCCCGCCACACGTCGTCCAGGGGCCGCACCGTCACCTCCAGGTAGGCGTCCTTCAGCGTGGCCAGGGGCCCTGCAAAGGCAGCCACCGCCCACCGTGAGGCCTCCCGGGCCTGGCGGCAGGAGCAACACTGCTGGCCGCCTCCCAGGCCCATGCGGGGAAACCAGCCCACCTCTCCCAGACAACCCGGGCCCCCAGCAAGGAAATAGAGCCTGCAACCTGGAATGAGGCGGCGGCACTAGAGACTGTGGATGTCAACCCGGCAGGCCCGAGACTGCCCGTCTGCAAGGCCTGTTCATCAGGGTGGCCCCTGGCTGGATTCTGAGGGAGTCCTACCGTTCCCAGACCTGATGAGAGTGCCTCCTTGGGCCTGGGGTGCAGAGACAACATGCTGAACACCCCTTTTCCTTCTGCGAGTCTGGGTCGTTGGTCTGTGCCAGGCAGGGGCTCCCACCTGACTGCCCGGCAATGAGAAGCCTGGGTGCGGGGCCTCTAACACGCTCCCTTGGGCACTTATGTCTGGCATGTGCTGTCACAATCTGAAGCTGGGGGCGCTGAGGGCATCCTGTGCGCCCCCACTGGGGGACGAGTCTGGGAGCTCGTGGGGGGGTCTCCCTGGAGCCTCCTCTACACCTGTCCCTCCGCGGCCTGGCTCTGTATGTTGGCTCTAAGGCTATAGGTGCAACTCCAAGCTGAGAGCTGAGTCCTAGTGAGTCATCCAGGCCAGGGTGGCCCTGGGATTCTGACTAGATGCACGGCAGGGGTGAGAGGACGCTGAACGGTCAGTCTGGCCCGAGCACCAGCCAGTCTCAGGATAGCCGCCCTGGTGCTGGGCAGGGTCCTGGGCTCCCCCACTGGGCCAGCTGTCAGCCCTGGTGCTCCTGGACCCTGAGAGGGGCTGGAGGGTCCCAGTGTCGCCAGGAGGGAGCTAGGGACAGCAGCCGTCACGACTGGCGTGGCCTCTCTGGTGCTTATCACAGAGCCAGAAACAGGCCCTGGAATCTATAGCAGTGGGCTTTGCAGAAATAAAGCTGTACGCCCAAAAGAATTCAAAGAGAAACTGAAGAAACTCGGGCAGAGGTCCCAGAAAAAATAAAGCGGTGAGCACAAAGGATATGAGCTCAGAGACCTACAAGAATGGACACGGCTGGCTTCCCCGGTGGCTCAGTGGTTAAGAATCCCCCTGCAATGCAGGAGACGCGGGTTCGGTCCTCAGTCCAGGAAGATCTCACACGCCGAGGAGCAACGAAGCCCATGCACCACAACTATTGAGCCCGGGAGCCGCAACTAGAGTCCATGTGCCGCCAGCACTGAAGACCCCTCACCCCAGAGCCCGTGCTCCGCCACGAGAAGCCTGTGCACCGCAGCTAGAGAGCAGCCCCCCACCCCATTCGCTGCAACTAGAGAAAAGCCTGCCCTGCAACAAAGATCCAGCACAGCCCAAAACAACACTAAATCAATAGAATTCTTCTTTAAAAAATTCAGACACGGCTCCCCGAGTCTGAAGGGTGTAGGTCCATGAGAAATAAGGCAGAGAGCTCTCAAGGAAGTAGGGGTACAGTCCCGCTGGGAATCCGGTGGCCTTCCTGCTTGAACCACTGCCCCAGGCCAAGTGTGAGGGGTCAGGCGTGGATCGGGGGCATGGTCACACACACTACCCCCACCGCCCCTGCACTCACGTTCTAGCTCCTTCCGCAGCTGCTCCAGCCCCTCCTGCAGCCTCTCCAGGGAGAGTGGCATTTGGTGGGTGAGCGCCCGCCTGGCCGGGCTCAGGCCCCACAGCGCGGCCACTGCCTGGCTGCCATCCCGCACGGCCCCCAGCCCCGCCTGGCACAGCCGCAGAAGCGGGCTGGCGAGGCCGTCCAGGGCGCCCGCTGGCTGCACCTGGGCCGGGGGGGAATGGAGGCCGGATCAGCGTGAGGATCTGGGGCCACCTGCACCCCTCATGTCCTCAGAGGGGGCCCCAGACAGAGCAGAGCAGTGACCCCGCCCAGCCCCACGCTCCCTCCCTTCTCCAGTGATACCCCAAGTGCACTCGACCCACCAGGCGCTGGAACCTTCTCACATAGGCGTCCAAGCTGTGGATCGTCTCCTCCAGCCTGGCTTGCATCTGGGACCCGAGAGCAGCTACCCTGGACTGCGGACACAGAGGCACAGGCTGGCCCCCCGGGAACGCAGCAGGCAGAAAGCTCCCGATGCCAGCAGCAGGCCTGCGGACCCGTGTGCCACGCTATGGGCTGTCTGCCTCCGCTTTCCTTGGCTCCACTGGACTCTGGGAGCCTGGGCCTGTGGCCTCAGGGTGGGGCTCGGGCTGGGGTGGTAGGAATGGCAACCCGCGCCGCCCCCCCCCCGCCCAGTCATCTCACCTCCACATGGTCCAGCAGGGTCCCCTGGCAGCCGCGTGCAGCCAAGCGGAGGCTCTGGTTGGCAGCCTGCAGGGTCAGGCGAACCAGCGGCTGGACGGGCTGCCCTCGGTCCCGGAGCAGGGCCTCCACTTCCGCCGCCTGCCTGTGGGCACAGGCCCGCAGCAGCACGCTCTCCTCTTGCCTCCCTGGGGCCAGGAAGGGACCTGCTGTTGAGCCCAGGACTCATCCATCCGCCTCCCAGCTGCCCACTCCTCTGGCATTCCACAGCCTCCTATAGCTCCCCACTGCCCACAGGCAGAGTCTCAAAGGCCCTGGGGCTTGAGGGTCTCAAAATGAGTTGCCTACATCAACCTTCGGACCCCCCTTCTAGACCCAAAGCCTGGTTTCTTCCCCATCCCTACATCCACCTCTGATCCAGACCTTCCCCCAGCCTTTCCTGGCATCACCGTCAATCCATGTGGCCATGGAGAGCTCCTCTCCTCCTGGCTGGGGGTGGGGGGGGGGCCGTGAACCCTACCAGGGTTGCCTTTGACTTTTGAGCTCGCAACGCCCCAATCTCTGACTTCTCTTGGACCAAGCTGAGCCCCACTGAGCCACACCCAGCGCCTCCACTCACCTTCCTCGTGGGCCACTGAGGCCTGGAAGCAGTTTGGGGCCCGAGACATTGACAGCCTCACTTTCTCATCTCCGTCGGCCACGCTTCCCTCCATCTGGACCAGGCTTCGAGAAGCCAAGGTGGAGACGCGGCCCAGGAGGCCAAGCCACTGAGCTTTGGGGCCACGGAGCTGGTGGAGAGGGGCAGAGGCCTGAGTGGGACCTGCCCCTGCCCTCTTCTGGCCCCAGACCTGGGGAGAGGTGGCTGGGGAGACTGAGGTTGAACCTTTTGGGGAAAGGCAATGCCCACCCCACCCCATACCTTCAGAGCAAGCACTGGGTCCCCTCACCCGAGGACCCTGCCACAGGCCTCAGCTCATGCTCACTTGCTCACTCGTGTCCGACTCTCTGAGACCCCATGGACTTAGCCCACCAGGCTCCTCTGTCCATGGAATTCTCCAGGCAAGAATACTGGAGTGGGTTGCCATGCCCTCCTCCAGGGGATCTTCCCAACCCAGGGATCAAACCCGGGTCTCCCACATTGCAGGCAAATTCTTTATCGTCTGAGCCAGCAGGGAAGCACAGGGCTCAGAGTCCCTACCGACTGCATAAACGCTTATTAAAATCCACATCCAGGGACCTAACTGCGCACGGACACGGCATCCAGATGGCTTAAGAATTCCTGATGCTCAGGCCTCACCCTAGAGATTCTGAACTAGCTGACTGGGGGAGGGGCTGGGCACTGGCATTTCAACATCCGAAGCACCTGGGTGTCTCCCCCTCCCAGCGAGCTTTTCCGTATCTGCAGGAGAACCACTACAAATGTCTCTGCAAGGTCAAGGAGACCTGGTGGGTGGCACCTGGCATTAAGGCCAGGCCACTGAACGTTCGTCCCAGCCCCTGGAGCCACCAGCCGAGAGGGGAGGGGACACAAGACAGGTGGTTGTTCAGTCACCAAGTTGCGTCCCACTCTTCACAACCCCGTGGACGGCCAGTGGAACAAATGACTGGAACAACTCATGACATACCGATAAAATAATACCGAATGTGCGTGCTCAGTCATGTCTGACTTGCTCGCGACCCCACGGACTAGGCAGCCCTCCGGGCTCCTCCATCCATGGGATTACCCAGGCGAGAATGCTGGAGTGGGTTGCCTTTTCCTTCTCCAGGGGATCTTCCCGACTCAGGGTGGGGCAGAGTCAGGAAAACCCTCAGTAGCCTAAAGGGAAGGAACCCTGAGGGAGACCCCACAGGAGAAGGGGAGGCTACAGGCTGGCTGAAATGCAGGTGTGGGCGAGGGGAGCCCGTCAGGCCTGAACTCAGCTGCTCTGTATTCTGGTCCAAATGCTGCATCTCCCAAGCTGTGCTGCCCGGAGTCACCGTGTTACCCTCTCTGGGCCTCCATGTCAAAATCTGTAAGATCAGATGTAGAATAGTGGTTCTCAAAATTGATCAGGAATCAGAATGCGTGTGTGCGTGTATGTTTGTGTGAATGTGTGCGGGAGGTGTGTTATGGGTTGAATTGTGTTCCTCAAAAAGATCTGATGGAATTCTAACCCTGGTGCCTGTGAATGTGGTGTCATTTGCATGTCTGTTCTTTGCAGATGAAATAAATTTGCAATGAAGTCATATAAGGACACCTAAATCCGATAACTGGTGTCCTTATAAGAAGGCCGGGGCTGGGTGGGGGGAGGGGGGGACTTTCCTGGTGGTCCAGTGGCTAAGACTCTAGGCTCTCAGTGCAGGAGGCCCGGGTTCAATTCCTGGTCAGAGAACTAGATCTCACATACCACAACTAAGACCCGGTACAGCCAAATAAATAAATAAATAAAATATTAAAAAAAAATACTGGAGGTGATTGCCATTTCCTTCTCCAGGGGTCCCGAGTTCAATCCCTGGTCAGGGAACAAGATCCCACATGCTGCAACTAAGACCCAGCACAGCCTAATCAATAAAAATAAATAGTAAAGAAAGAGAAGGCCACGTGTAGACGGAGGCAGAGACTGGGATAACGAAGCAACTCCTGGATTGCTGGCGGCCCCTAGCAGCTAGAAGAGACAAGGAAGGATTCTTTCCTGGGTCTTCTAGAGGGAGCATGGCCCTGCTCATATCTTGATTTTAGCCTTCTAACCTCCAGAACTCTGAAAGAAGAAATCTCTATCGTGTTAAGGCACTGACTTGGTGGGTAATTTGTCAGCCCTAGGGATCCAATTCAGGGAGCTCGCAAAGCATGCAGTTTCAAGTCTCCTTCCAGCATATTTCTGAGTGGGTGGGAGGGGTGGCGCCCAGGAATTCCTAGAAGATTTCACAGTGCTCTGGCAGTGAGCCTGGTGGGGAGGTGGGGGAGCAGACATCTGCAGACCACACTTGGGGTGCTCCTCGTAGATGGCCTCCTGCATCTGAGCTCTGTCCTAGTCAGAGTGGCTGGGGCCCCAGCAGCTGGGGTAAGTGCCTGCCCCCCCCGAATTTTGTCCCTCTTCTCCATCAGGTTGGTGTGAACACCAAACCAGGCTGGGAAAGCCCTCCCCAGGCCATGGACCCCAAAATGGGGCAGAGAGCATGTGGGCAAGGGAGAGGCGGTCAAAACCAGCCACCCACAGGCTCGGGATGGAAGCAGAGGGACCACCCGCTCCCTGGCCACCCACTGCGGGGAGTCATGAACCTTGGGGCACTGGGATTACACATGCGGGGGTGGCTGGCGGCCTGGCGGGCCAACGGGGAAATGAGAGCCAGCCTTGGCAAGCCTTAGAAAGGAAAATGCTTTTGAAACCATCACAGCTCCTGGGCTTGGAAGCAGGGGCTGGGTGAGCTCCAGACACAGAACTGCCTCGTCCCGCTCTGGACACTGGCAGGAAACGCCCATCTCACGAGCACTTCCTGTGTGTATGTGCCGTGCAAACTCTGTTTCTTTTTCTTCCCAACACTTCTGCAGAGGAGGTGGGATTTGTTCCCATTTGACAGAGGGGAATACTGAGGCTTGTAAAGGGAAAGTCACAAGGCCAACGTCAGGGAGACACAGAGATAGGCATATGGCAGCACTGATGGGGCACCTACTCTATACCCATGCTGTGTGGGTGGAGAGGAGGGGTGCCCAGAACCCCACTGACCACCTTGTGAAATATATCTGACCCCTACTTACAGGTAAGGAAATGGGGCTCAGAGAGGTCCCTTTCCAAAACCATTTGGCCAGATGAGGGCAGAGTAGGTATTGAACCCTTTCTACCTCCCTGGGCTGCCAGGAAAGGGAGAGATAAGAGAAGACTGGGCCAATAAAAGCCAATAATAAAATAGCAGCTGGGATTTCCCAGGTGGTGCAGTGGTAAAGAATCCACCTGTCAATGCAAGAGACACAGGTTCAATCCCTGGGTCAGTAAGATCCCCTGGAGCAGGAAATGGCAACCCACTCCAGTATTCTTGTCTGGAAAATTCTGTGGACAGAGGAGCCTGGTGAGCTACAGTCCACGGGGTCACAAAGAGTCAGACACAACTGAGTGAACAGACACACACAATAAAAGAAGCTAATACTTAGTGCTGGCTTTGTACCTGGCACCGTTCTAAGCAGTATACACATTAACATATTTAATCCCTACAATATTAATCCCATGGGAGGTAGGATAGGTGCAATGATTATCCCCCACTTTACAGGTGAGGGTGAGAAGGCTTCCCTGGTGGCTCAGACGGTAAAGCATCTGTGTGCAATGCAGGAGACCCAGGTTCAATCCCTGGGTTGGGAAGATCTCCTGGAGGAGGAAATGGCAGCCCACTCCAGTACTCTCGCCTGGAAAATCCCATGTGCCCCGCCCCGTGCCTGCTTGCAGTTCCAATCCTGGCCACTAGATGGCAGGGCTGCCCAGTCAGTGGTGGTCCACCGGCCAGACAGGGACAGACGGCCATCAGGGTATCTACCTCTGGGGCGGGCAGCCACCTTACCTCCAGTTCCCCGGAGTAGTCATGCGTCCGGGGCCTGCTGTGGTTGCGGAGCATCAGGCTGAGGTGCAGGCCGTGCTCTGGGTCTGGGGCGAGGCCCAGCTGGCACCTGGAGTGTAGCAGGAGCTCACCGCTGCCCAGGGTGTGCTCCCCGGAGACCGCGAGGGCCTGGAAGGAGGAGGCGGGGGGTCAGTGGTCAGGGAGGCGCGGGGTCACAGCTTCCTCTCGCGAGGCCCTGGTCCAGGCGCCAGCCCCTCACGCCAGGAGTCACAATAGCATATCCCAGCCTCCACTCCTGCCCCAGCCTATAGCCCCTCCTCCATTTTACCTTTAAAAAAAATGCAAATCAGACACTGTCCCCCTGCTCAAAGCCTCTGTCTTCCCATTGCACTTGGAGGAGAAGCTGCTCTCCTTGGCAGGTCCTGTGGGTCTGCATTATCTTCCTAACCTCACCTCCTTGCTCTCTCTGTAGAAGCCGCCCTGTGTTCCTCAAACATCTACAAGCATGCTCCGGCCACAGGGCCTTTGCATTGGCTGTTCTCACCGCACTCAGCATTCGTCCTCTCTCCCTGTTTCATTCTTTCATGGCATTCACCACTCCTGTCTTGGTTATCTTCTTCTACTCACTGGACTCTTTGGGAAGGCGGGCACCTGGTCTGTCCCTTTCACCATCCTTGTCCCTGCACCTAGAACAGAGCCTGGCATAAGTAAGACCCACAAATGCTCTCTGAATGGATGGACAGATTGGGGGCTGGCAAACTTCAGCTGATGGGTCAAATCTGGCTCATCACCTGTTCTTGTAAATATGTTTTTATTGGGACTGGCCATACCCCTTCATTTATATGTCCTCCACGGGGGCCTTCACGGCAGAATGGCAGACTTGAGTGGCTGAAACAGAGCCCATGTGGTCTGCAAGACTGAAAATATTTACTGTGACTTCCCTGGCTGCTCAGTGGTTAAGAATCTGCCTGCCAACGCAGGGGACACGGGCTCAGTCCCTGGTCCGGGAAGATCTCACTTGCCACAGAGAAACTAAACCTGGGAGCTGCAGCTACTGAAGCCCCGGTGCCTAGAGCCCATGCTCTGCAACAGGAGAAGCCACCGCAGTAAGAAACCCAGAACTGCACCTAGACAGTGGCCCCTGCTTGCTGCAGCTAGAGGAAGAAGCCCTCACACAGCAACTGAGACCCAACACAAACAAAACTACATACATAAAGTTTTTTAAATAAATAAAATATTTACTATCCGACCCTTTGCAGGAAATGTTTGTGGCCCCTGGGATTGTTAGAGAGATGAGAGGGTGTGGGGAATGGGAAAGGGGAAGGATGGATGGATGGATGGATGGATGGATGGATGGATGGATGGATGGATGGAAGGGAGGGAGGTTGGAAGACAGGGAGGCAGGTAGGACGAAGGAATGGATGGATGGATGGGAGGATGGGTTGGAGGGTAGGTAGATGAATGGATGGCTGGCTGGATGGCTGGCTGGAAAGATGGGTTAAAGGTGGGTGGAGGAAGGCAGGAAAGACCAATCAACTAGCTAACAAACTCAGGGGAATGTTGGGGGAACAGGGGTCCCAACCCCTCCCCCTAACAATAATGAAAACAGCAGCTTGGTTTACATGTTGAGCACTTTCCTGGTGCCACATCTTAAATCTCCCCATCACCCCACGTGCTGGAACCAACCACATCTCCCACCCCTTAGATGAAACACCAGAGGCTCAGAGAGGAGAGAGTCCTGCCCAGGGCCGCCTGAAGGCCCTGCAGACCCATGATGACTGCATCTGGCTCCCTCACTCACACCCCTGCCCTGGGTGGGCACCCTCCTCTGTCTTCACCGCCGGGTCCCTGGGCCCTTCCCGGGGACAGACTTACTCTGGGCAGGTGGCAGAGCCCCAGCTGCAGTGAGTGGCGCAGCCAGTGGGCATGGTCGGTCTCCAAGTCTCCCCGGAAGCTCTGCGTGGGGCAGGGGGCCCCGAGGACGTGCTCCAGCATGGCCTCTGCATGAATCTTGTCTGGGAGGGATGGCTGGTGCCTCTGGAAGGAAGGAAGCATCTTGGGATGGGGGCTCATCCCATAAGAGAGAAGGAGACCCTCACAAGAGGAGAGGAGGTGCCAGGAACCTCATCAGAGCCCCAGGCAGCCCCAGAGCGGGCATTTACACTCCAGGCAGGACCTCTGTTGGGAGACTGAGGGGCTGTGGGCCTAAGGAAACCCATAAGGGACAAGGGCACCTTCAGGCCAGCTGCCCTCATCTCTCCATGGCCCAGCCCCTGCCCCTGGCTCTGCAGAGCAGCACTCAGCCCATCAGGAGCCTCAGGCAGATGGTGACGCTGGGGAGACCTTGATCCTGACACCTCTGGGAACCTGAGCTCCCCACCTCTCCCCACCCCTCCCCACTGGGCTCACCCACTCCTTGGCCCACTCTCCGAGTGCCCACCTCATGCTGGGCACCTTGCTTTCCTGACCTCCCAGCACTCTCACGACATTACAGGATGATTGTACCCATTTCACAGATGAGAAAACCAAGGTTTGCAATGGAGAAATGAATTGCCCAGGGCCCCCCAGCACAATGAGCACTTACACCCAGGACCCTATGACCCCAGAGTCAGGCACTTTCTGCAGCTGGTGGGGCCACCCAGCTTCCCAGGCCTCACCTCATACGTCAGGTTCTGCTGTACCCGGCGTCCGTCCCAGGACAGATCCAGCCACTCGCTGAACACAGCTGGGGTCTGCGTTAAGGCCCCACAGGCCCTGAGGGCACCCAGGCCCCAGGTATCCTGGAGCTGAGGCAGAAGAGGGTGGCAGGTGTGACTGGGGCGCAGAACAGGGCCCGGGGTTTGGGGGCACCTGGCGCCAGGTCGGGAGGGCAGGCAGTGCATACCTGCCCAGGGGAGGCGACCACACAGCCGTCCCAGGAGGTGCTCTGCGCTGAGGACCTGTTGGCCCAGGTGAGCTGCAAGGCCAGCGGCTGCCCTCCATTCCAGGCAAGCTGTACCTGCGTGGAGACGCGGCCAGCAGCAGGTGGACGGGAGCAGGGGACGGAGGAGAGGCTGAGGTCCCCCCGTCTGTGTGTCGGGGTGGGGAGGTAAGAGGGAGGGAGGGGTGCAGAGCCTGGATGAGGGGGGAAGGTGGAGAAGCTGGTGGGCCCCCACCCACCCCTGAAGGGGATGGAGGGGGCAGGCAGGAGTAGAGGCACTGACTTCTCTTCCGGCTCATGCCTGTAAGAGCGCAGAGCCACGCCCAGACTGGAGACCAGAAGTGTTTACAGGGTGGAAAAATCCCCATTCTCAACACCCAGACTCATCATTTCCCAAGACAGTGAAATCTGAGCCCCTCACTGGGGCCTGTGGGTTGAAGCCCTAATCCCCAGTGTGACAAGATCAGGAGGTGTTGGGAAGTGATTAGGGTTATATGGGGTGGAGTGGGGGTTCATGATGCGATCTGTGCTCTGTAAGAAGGACCCCACAGGGCTCTCTCCCTAGCATGTGAGGACACAGGGAGAAGGCCTCAGACCAAGAAGAGAGCCAGAACCTGGCCATGCTGGCCCCTTGATCTTGGACTTCTAGCCTCTAGTCTGTGGTCTAAGCCACGCAACCTGTAGTATTTTGCTATGGCAGCCCTGAGCTAAGACAAGTGGTCTGCCCCCTCACTGGCCCCCACCCCATCATTTCCTCCGTGCTGGTCTTAACTGCCTCTGGCCCCTCCTGAAGCTCCCAGCCTGTTCCCACCTCAGGGCCTTTGCACTTGCTGCTCCTCCAGCTTGTCCCGGCTCCTCTTCATCCACAGGTCCTCAGCTGACAAGCCACCTCCTCCATGAAGCCCTCTCTGACCACCCCATCTAAAGTCCCCTCCCCACCCGGACTCCAATGATTCTCTTAGTACCGGCTTTACTTTCTTTATAGGGCTTATCACAACTCTTAATTTTTTATTCATTCATTCTCTTGAGTTTTGGCCTTTTTGCCTGGCACACACTGGCCTACTGTCTCCCATTTCACAGAAAAAAAAAGAAAAACAAAAAAGGTGAGGCTTAGAGAGGTGCTGAAGACTGCCCAAAGCCTCCCAGTCAGATGCAGATTCTAAGCTACCCTATGTGAACCCCTGCAGTGACCAGCTAAACAAACCAGCACATCAGTGATGAACCAGACATGCTCATGAACTGCTCCTCCCACTAAACTGTGAGCTTTATCAACGCAGGGACTACGCCTGCATCTCAACACTACCTGGCACACAGTAGGTGCTTAATACAGTCCCGATGAAGGAAGGAATGCGAAGGCCCCCTTGAGGTTCCAAGCTTCAGGACACTGTGATTCCAGAGACGTCCTTGTCTCTGATGAACAAACAAGATCCTCCTCCCCCCACACGTGGTCCCAGATGTCCCACCCGTGGCCTTAGCCATGCGGCTCACCCACCCCCAAGGGCTGTCTACCCAGGGCTCCGTGGCTGCTCCCCGCTCACCTGCCAGCTCTGCCTGCCGCCCCTGCTCTCAGCAAGGCCGCTGGCCTCGGCCCGCTGCCAGGAGAGGCCGAAGGGGTGAGCCAGGGCCAGGCGGGCGGCCAGCTTGCCCTTCCCCAGCCACAGAGAGGAGGACAGCGCCACCTGCGGAGGGGACAGGCTGAGCGGGAGGCCTCCCCCAGAGAGGCCCTCCCCACCACCCAGCGCAGGTCACCGCCTTCATCAAGGTCAAGGGAGTGAGGGCTTCTGGCCCACCACTGGGGGAGGCCCTCTGGGAGCTTCAGCCCATTTTTCAGGGGAGTAAGTTGAGGCTTGGAGAGCAGCAGATAGGGACAAGAATATGACGGAGAGGGGACTGGGGGTTAGAGGCGTTTCATGGATTTGAATCCCAGCCCTGCCTTTCACTAGCTCCATTCCTGTCTGAGCTTCAGTTTCATCTCTGAAACGGGGCTGGGGTGCCTGGCACACAAGAGGCCGTCGCTATGCATCAGCCACTGGTCTTCCTGTTATCATCCAGGTGGTGTTGGGACCCAGGCTCCCTGCTCCCTCCCAGTGCTCTTCCCATGGTCCTTTGGGGACTAGGGCTCAGGCCGGTTGGCCCCATTAATGCTCCTCGGGCACGGCAGGGCCCCGAGGGTCCTGCTCAGGCCGCAAGCTGGGCTTCCCGGGTCCCCTTCCAGCCCGACGCCTACCTGGTCCTTGCCGTCCCAGCCCACGACCAGGTCATCCTGGTGACGGCGTGTCGAATGCTCGGAGGTCAGGCGGAAGCGGCAGTGCCGTGGCAGGGGAAGGGGCAGCGGGTGGGTGAGCTCCACTGGGCAGGGAGGGGCGTACAGGCAGGGGGCGTGCATCAGCTTGAGGCCAAGAGGGGGTAGGGGGCCACTCTGGGGCCACACACACACATAATCTGCACAAAATTCAGAAGCTTTCCCCTCACTTGGTCCCCATGCCACTCAACAGTCCATCAGTGTCCCCATGGGAGCCCCATTTCAGGACTTCTGCAAGGAGGCCTTGTATCTCCTCCATCAAGAGGTGGAATTTTGTTTCTCTGGCCCTGGAACCTGGGCTGGCCTCGTGATTGGCTTGTAGAATTTGGTGAAGTTGACACTGCAAAACCCCAGCTTTGGCCTTAAGTCCTCAACTCCGTCTGGCTCTCTAGAACCCCGGACCAGCCATTGTGAGAATAAGCCCAGGGTGACCTGCCGGACACTGACGCCACACAGAGGAGAGCCTGGATGTTTCAGCAGAGACTGTCCCCGACCAGGAGACAGCCAACCAGCCCCCGAACAGGTAAGAAAGTGCAGCCGAAATCAGCAGCACCACCTAACCAACTTAGGGCCTGACCCTGACGCGTGAGTAAGACCAGGGAGCTGCCCACATGCTCGTTAGCAGTGATAAATTCTTATTACTGTAAGTCACTGAGTTTGGGGTCATTTGTTACACAGCAGTAGCTGACGGATACACCTTCCGATATCACTCTCGGGTCCCTCACACACATGGTTACCCTGGGCACTTTTACTGTTCCACATCCACCTGGTCACACACAGCTGCCCCATGCTCCCATTCCATCCTGGGGTACGACACAGCCCATCGCTGAGGCCTCACGGCCTCCTGGCCCTCGATTTTCTTCCTTCATCTCTGAAGCCTGAGCCTAGCTGCCCTGACCTCCGGCACCGTCTGACTCCATCCCAAAAGGCCACCAACTGTTCCTGCCATCCTAGACCCCCCAGAGCAGGAGTCCACCTGAGACTCCACTGCAGACAAAGACCACCTCTGAGCCCTCTGGAAGGGGGCTGTCCCTACATGGACCCTGGGGAGCTGTGCCCAGAGATAGTGGCTCTAAGCTGTTTCTCAAGGCGTCACCTGGTCGCCAGTCCAGGGAGCATGGACCACACGCAGAGCTGCAACCCCTCACTCCCTCTGGTTCCTGTGCCCGGCAACCACACAGCAGGGTCCACAGGCTGCTCGGCCCATCCACGGGCCCCCTGAGCATGCACACACTCACACACGGGCACGCACAACATATACTACCGTGGCGTGCTGAGGATCCTCTCATTCCCTCTGCCTTGCAGGGCACACATGTGGCAACCCTGATCCCAGGAAAACCCCCTGGGCCACCCAGCAAGCTGTGCCCGCCCCAGGCCAGGGTCTGCACTGCATCTCCCGCTTGGCAGGCCAGCAGGTTAGCTTCTGCTCTGTGTACGCAGACCCCTCAAACACAAACTGACAGGCCGTGTGTCTGCACGGCCCCTTGGGGATGGGGCTGTTTCCTGGAGGGCCTCAGGGGGTCACGGGTGCCCTCGCAGGGGCCACACTCGCCTCCCCTGCCAACCTGCATTCTGTCTGCCTCAGCCTGCAACCCCTTGGGGATGCTAGGGGTCGCCACATCTTCCACGCCCTAACCTTGCCCTCCTGTCTTATCACACTCAGGATAAACCCCAACTCCTTGTCAGGGGCTGAGACCCTGTGTGTCCTGGCTCCCCTAACCTCTCCCACCTCATCTCCGCCCCTCTGCTCCTCCCGTCAATCCACTCCAGTCACACTGACCTTGCTGCTATGGCTTCAGCCACAAAGCCTGTTCCCACCCCAGGGCCTTTGCACCTGCTGTTCCTCCTCTTCTGCCCATGATGACCTCCCCAGAGCTTCACCTTCTCGTCACTCAGTGCTCAGCTTGAAAGTCACCTCCTGAGACAAGCCTTCCCAGATCACCCACCTGGAGGAGCGCCCCCCCCCCCCCCCCCCACCCCAAAGCAAACCCTGCTTGTTTTCATAGGCATTCTCACTCCTGGAAACACTCTGATGTTATCTTGTTCAGTGTGAACCTCCCTGAGGTCTGGGTCCCGGGCCATCCTGCTTCCCAATGGACCCCCAGTGCCTGGAACAGTGCCTGGGATAAGCAAGCACTCAGTGACGATGCTCTGAGTGAACGGGTGGATGCGTGGCCCCTGGGAGACTCACCTTGCAGACCAAGGGTCCTGGCAGGCTTGAGGAGGGGCCCGGAGAGGCTCCCATTGAGGCTCCCCTTGAGGGCCAGGCCCCGCCCATCCCACAGCACCATGTGCTGCAGGACCCAGGTGTCACGGGCTCGCTCGTATGAGGTCTGAAGGACCAGCTCCCCAGGAAGGGCATGGAACTGAAAAAACAAAAGATGGAGCTGGGTCGCTGGGGAGCCCAGCCCATGTTCCTGCTGAGGGTAGCAAAGGAGAGAAGCTTTCAGAAGAGGAGAGACAAGAAACAACGCTCTAATTGTTTACTGGACTGGTAGATACCATAACAGAGTCCAGCAAAGGGGTGGAAGGGCTGTGACAAACCAGAGACTGATGCCCCCCGTAAAGAGGACAGCTGCCTCTCAGCTCCACTTCCAAGCTGTGTGGCCTTGGGCCAGTTTCCCAACCTCTCTGAACCTCAGTTTCTGCATCTATAAACTGGGGTAAGAATAACAAGGCTGACTTCAGTGAGACAAGGGGAGTGATGTGCTCAGCCCAGGGCTGGACCCGTGGACAGTGCCACGAGGGGCTGCTGTGGTTGGTAGAAGGATTTCTCAAACATCTAATGAGCTGGTGTGATGTCCCTGACCCAAGGCTGGGGGCTGGGGGACCCCCAAGATAACCAAGACTGTACCTGGCCCTTCAGGGGCTCCAGGCTGGTGGGGAGATAGTCACAGAGTCAGAAAATGGTGGGGCAAGGTGACAAGAGAAGCCATGGAAGATATTCAAGGGGGGAAGGAATGCAGAGAAAGAGACTGCTGGATAAAACAGGGAAGGGCATTCTAGGCAGAAGGAACAGCCGGTGCAAAGGCTCAGCAAGGGGCACTCTCCCTGCTGTTGGGTGCCACAGGAGGATGGCAGAGGAGACTTTCAGGGGGAGGAAGGGAGTTTACTCTTAAATGTCTCTAAAGCCCATCACCACTGCCCCCATCTCGGTCCAAGACACCATCATTCTTAAGACCCTGCTCACAGCTTACTCACTGGTGACTCTGCTGCCCCCTGTAGGTCACTCACTACACAGCAGCCAGAGGAGTCTGAAAGTACCCTTTGGATCAGGTCCTCAAATGCCTCCAATTTCAGAGAGGATACAATCCCAACTCCTCTCTGTGGCCTGACTCACCCTACATAATTAGATTCCCACTCCTGCCTACTATTTCCCCCTCACCCATTCTGCTCCAGCACAGTGGCCATTCCTCAAACGTGCCAGTCATTCCTGCCCCAGGCCCTTTGCACGTCTTGTTCCCTCTGCCTGGAATGCCCTGTCACCAGGTTTCCAAATGGTTGGTATCTGCTTGTCATCCCAGGCTAGCTCCCATTGTCACCTCCTTAGGGGGGCCTTCGCTGGCCACCTAAATAGCTCCCCAGTCATTCCCGCTCATTTCACCCCATACTGCAGGCAGTTTCTTTACCATCTGAGCCACCAGGGAAGCCCTTGTCTATAGTAGGCATCATCATCTGGTATATTTTCTAATTTGATTTTCTTTTTGTTGTTGGTCAGCCTCCCCACTTTTGGTTGTTGCTTAGTCACCAAGTTGTTCCTGACCCCATGGACTACAGTCCACCAGGCTCCTCTGTCCATGAGATTTTTCAGGCAAGAATACTGGAGTGGGTTGCCATTTCCTTCTTCAGGGGATCTCCCTGACACGTCTCCCGCCCACATCTCTGATGCATTGCAGGCACAGTCTCCCCACTAGACTACATTCGATTAGAGGAAGGACTCATCAGTCTGCTCTAAGCAACATCCCCAGCTTCTGGAACAGTGTCTGGCTTAGTACCTAGTAGATGCTCAGTAAATAACATGAAAGGGAGGGAGGGAAGGAGGGAGGGAGGGAGGGGGGAAGGGAAGAAGGGACACTGAGACCAGCTGAGAATCCGTTCCAGCAAATTTTGCCCACATCACAGCCCTGCCTGCAGTGGATCCTCCCAGGAAACAGGACAACTCCTCGTTTCTCAAAGGGCTGCCCCAGGAACATCCCTCTGTACCTCCACCACCAAGCCTGCCCTGGCCTCCTCCACGCACCTGGGGGAAGGTCTGCTCCAGCTTGATGATGTTGGTAAGGCTGTTCTTAGCAGCTGTGAGCCCGGCGTCCATGTGGAAGTGATGCTCCTCCACCATCAACACAAATGTGCCCTCGGCTCCACCCTCGGAGTATCGTAGCTGGGTCAGAAGGAAAGCAAGGCAGATTTCCTCACCCAAGTCTCTGACAGAACATTCAGGAAGGTGCTGGAAGTAGGCTCGGCCTCCCAAAACCCCCAGACTTAAAGACCTACAGCTCCCTGGGTGAGATGCATTGTGATGATGTGAGGTCCAGGAAAGATCCCCTGGAGGAGGGCATGGCAACCCACTCCAGTATTCTTGCCTGGAGAATCCCATGGACAGAGGAGCCTGGCAGGCTGCAGTCCATGGGGTCGCAAAGAGTCAGACAGGACTGAAGTGACTTAGCATGCATGAGGGTCCTAGCTCAGGTAAGACCACCAGGTGTGGCCAGGACAACAATCTCTGCATGCCCTTCATGCTCGAACACTGACTTGCAGATGGCTACCAGCCTGCAGCAGGCAGGCATTCTAATTATCATTGTAAATGGGAGGGGGCAGTCTAGAGCAGAGGACAACACACAAACAGTGCATCAGACTGGGACTCAGCTCTGGCTCTTCCAAGCATGCGGTGAATGACCTCTAGCTAGTTCCATAACCCCTAGGACTTCACTCTCTAACCAGGTAAACTGGGATGGCGAAACCTACTTTATTAATGTGCTGACATGAAAACTATATGAAATCATGTGCTATTTCCAGGCTGGTTGAAGAGCAGAATCACTCAGGGCACATGCTAAAAATATAGACTCTGGGCCCCCACCTAAGACCTGTAAAAACAGCCTCTAGAAACTGGGTCAAGAATTGATATTTTTAAGAGCTTTCCAGAAACATCAATAGTTTAGTGACTTCCCTGTCAAAAATGTCCAACCTGAATCACACCTTACACAAGCTATCTGACAAATCCAAACAGAGGATTTTTGCACAACGATTGCCTGGACACTACAAAATTGTCCATGTGGAAGTTTTCTTTTTTAAATTTAACTATAGTTGATTTACAATATTGTGTTTACAATAATTAATTTCAGGTATACGGCTTCAGATTCTTTTCCATTATAGGCTATTATAAGATATTGATTACAGTTCCCTATGCTATACAGTAAATCCTTGTTGTTCAAGGAGTTCTTTAAGGTGGTTAATGATATGAAATGTTTAGGGGGAAGTATATCAGTATCAGCAACTTACTTTGAAATGCATTAAAAATTAAGGGTGGAGAGCTGTGTGATAAAGTAGAGGGAAATATGAATGAAAAAATCTAGGTGACAGGTATGAGGGTATTTGCTAGGAAGCTGTTTGAATCTTTCGGTGTCTGAAAAATATAATAATAAAATGTTAGAGGAAAGAAAGGCAGGTGGTAGGAAGAGAATCGCTAGATCGGGGTCAGTCTTTGGGCCAAATTCAGCCCACTCTCTGCTTTGTAAATGAAGTTTTATTGGAACACAGCCAAGCCCATTTATTTACACATCGTCTATGGCTGTTTTTTTGTTATCATGGCAAAATTGGATGGTGGCAACAGAGAGGGTATTGGGTATAAAGGCTAAAATATTTATTACCTGGCCCTTTACAGTAAAAGCTTGCAGACCTCTGTCCTAGGTATTAAGAAACTAAAGAGACATGACAACTGAATGCCCTGGGTGATCTTGAACTGCATCCCAGATTTAAAACAAACAAAACAGCTCAGAAGGACTTTATTGTGAAAGAAGAATTACTGCATAACTGGGAAATTTTATGATGAGCTGTACACTCAACAACGATATTATGTCACATGTTAAATTTCCTGAATTTGGTAATTCTACTCTGTTATACAAGAAAATACCCTTATTATAGGAAACACCAGCTGCAGTATTTAGGAGTAATGAGATGCCTCCAGAAACAGCTCAATATTACTCACAATACAAAAATATGTGTGTGAATATATAAAAGTATATAACATATATAAGTATAAATAGAAAGACATGGCAAGATATTAAGACTTGGTGATATAAGATAAATACCAGGGATGTTTGTACAGTGAGAGGACTACTGTTAACCCTGCTGGATGGTATATCTGAGAGCTGTTAAGAATGGTACAAGTGAACCTATTCACAAAACACAGTCACAGATGCAAAAAACAAACACAGTTACCAAGGGGAAGGAGGGATAAGTTGGGAGGTTGGGGCAGACATACAGGCGCTACCAGAGATGAAATAGGGAGCTAGTAAGAACCTACTGTATAGCGCAGGGAACTCTACTGGACACTATCTAGTGATCTTATACAGGAATAAACTCTAAAACAGAGTGCATATATGTATATGTATAACTGATCCACTTTGCGGCACAGCCGAAACTAACACAATGTGTAAATGAACTATATTCCAATAAAGCCAATTTTAAAAAAGAGAGTAAAGAGATCCTAACAGTTGTCATCACAAGATTTTTTTTTCCTTTTCTTTTTCTGTATCTGAGAAAACAGATTTAACTAACTCATTACAGTCATTTCACAGTAGACGCAAGTCGGATTAATGTGCTGTGCGCACTAACAGGGCTGTGTGTCAATTACATCTCAGTAAAACTGCGGGAAAAGCCAGTTGGCAAATGGTCACTGCCCTACGGTACCTTTCCTATAGGTTGGAAATTATGCCAAACAAAGACTTGGGGAAAACTAAGAGGCTTCCTGAGTGATGGTGAGTCTAGTCTGCAGGGCTCTGAGATCGTGTGTGATGCGCTGGTACACACACTGGCACACAGTAGGTGCTCTATAAACAAAGCCAGCCTGGGCCAAAGCAGGAAGGGAGGTGGGGGTGCTTTTTACAAAGCTGGGTGGCTGGTAGGATAAGGTGTGTGCACTCACTCATTCCCTCATCCTGTCATTCATTCATTCATTCATTCCCTCACTGTCTCTCACTAAGCACCTCCTGTGTGCTGGGCCCCAGGCCAGGTACTGGGCGCCTTCCAGGCTCTCCTGCTTCGGAGAGGAGGAGCAGAGAGAGACAAAGGCAGCACCGAGGGAAGGGGAATCGTGGATCTCACTGGCCCTCCCGTTCACGCCGGCACCCCCAGACCCTACACACAGAGCAGACGCCTGAGTGAGAGAGATCCCGGGGTTCCAGGTGAACACGGGGCTTGCAGACACAGGGCAGGAAGCCACGCAGAGGCTGTGGGAAAGGCCGACAGGGCACTGGGAGGTGAGGCTGGCCCAGCTCAAAGGCTGCGTCATCTGATCCAGCGCCCGGGAGCGTGCCAGGCTGGGGAGAGGTGGCGCCAGGCACTGGTGGGCAAGACTCCCCTGGCTCCTGGGGGTCTCATGGGCCCTGCTGGGGGCTGCAGGGCCGGCCCAGGAATGTAAACCCGGGCCTGTTTAGGAAACCTGGAGCCAGGGGTTTCCGAGGGCGGCCCAGAGGGGGCCTGCTGCAGGCTGGGGGATGCATGTGATGTGTTAACACACACGGGCCCCCCACCCCGCCTCAGGCAGGGCATCTGGAACCAGTTAGGGGCTCAGGGGTGGCCGGGACACGGTTACCTTGGCTGAGGCGGAGGCTCTGCTGGGGCAGCGGCCGAGGAGGACAGGGAGGTGATGCCGGCCGGAGAGCCGCAGCTCTTTGCTGGAAGCAAAGAAGGCGTGAGAGGCTTGGCGTGAGGGCGCCCCGTGCAGGCCGGGTCGGGACCAAGCCAACCACCCCAGCAGAGGGCTGGAGACCCAGAAACATGGGAGCAACCCAATGAAGGGCTATTAACATGCCCGGAGGCCTGATGGCCGTGGGGTGCAATGGTCAGGGCTGCAGCAACCCGCGGGTGCATTCCAGCTTGGCCTCCGCCTGGTCCTGGCACAGTGGGCAAGTGCCTCCGTTTCCCCTCCAGCACAGGGGCTAGGTGGTACTCAGCGGCATGTCTTCTGTGGACCCAGCCATGGGCCCCCCTCGCTTTGGATAGAGAGCTTTAAACACGGCCCGCTCCTGCAGCCCTGGGCTCACAGCACCCCTCCTTCGCCTCCTCAGGCCAGGCACCCACTGACACCGCAGGCCACACCACTCATCATTGTGGGCTGACCTGAGCATTACGGGAGGTCTGGCAGTAGCTGTGGCCCCCGCCCGCGAGGAGTCGGTAGACCCCCCCGCCTGGCTATAATAACCGGACCTTTCCCCAGACACTGCCCAACACCCCCCCCCGGGGGAGAACCACTGATCTATATCATTAACAGCAGCTTCCTCATCGCCCTCCATCACCTGGAGCCTGGTGACCCACCTGACTTCATCTGAGTGTTAAGAACCCTGACCTCAGAACCAGGCGCCGCAGGAGGTTCCCAGACTGAAGAGCCATCCTAGTTACTATTCGAGGCCTGAGACGCATTTAGCTTGGGAGAGTAAGAACTCCTCGTTCGTGTCCCGAGCCCCAGAGGTCAAAGATGTTTTATTAGCTGTGTGACCTCGGGCAAGTCACTTGGCCTCTCTGAGCCTCCCTTGCCACCTCTGTGCAGTGGGGCTGTGGGTCGGGTGCTCAGCGGAGGCCTCTCCCTCACCCATTCCTCTCCCCTCAGGGCCTCCAGAGTGTGGCAAAGTTCTCACCTGAGTGCCTGGCTGTGGCCGTGGACGTTGAGGACCAGGCTGGTTTGAGAATCGCACGTCAGCTGCAGGGAAGAATGCATCTCTTCCTTTTCCCAGAGCTCCCGGAACATGAGCTGAAGAGTGAAGAGGATGGGGTGAGGCGGGGGGGTGGGGGATAGGCTGGGAGCGGGGGACCTGAGGACCGTCACATCCCTGTCTGCCCACCAGCCTGGCAGGGCATATGCCCATCTGCCCCGCCCCCATCTGCCCACCCTTGGATGGTGAGGACCCCTGGGCAGGCCTGGGCCGGCTCCCTCGCTGCAGCCCAGGTTGCCAGACAAGAGTCCGCAACGTCCACCTGTACCCCAGACATCGGCAAAGAGCCGGCATCCTACAGACCTCTCCACCGCCCAGGCTGAGGGCAGGGAAAGAGGATTCAGATGAAGTGCTGCTCAGCTGTGGGTCACGGTGACTCAGACCCTCTGAGGGAAGAGTGACATCCTGGGCCCCTGGGCTCCGGGAACTACTGCTCCACCCATGGCAGTGGGGAGTGAGGGGCAGGGGGATTGCCAGATAGCCCAAAACAGCAGGCTGGAAAAGAGACTTGGATGTACGTTCTCCGTGGCTCGTGACGGCCCCACTAAGCAAGTTGAGACCACACCAAGTGACAATGGCCCGCTGCATGGGGACTCAGCACAGTTCCTGACTTGAAGGGTGTGGGGGTGCTTCTCAGGAAAGGACCCGGTACCAAGGCTGAGTCCCTGTTTTGATGCCTTCTTGCTGCATGACCTCAGGCAGGTCACCGAGGGACGGAACTGTGACCCGAGGATGCTACTGACTATAGCGGCCAGCGTCATCAGCACCACCAGAGCAGCAAAGGCTTCTGAAGCTTCCACTCCAGACACACACCATCCCAGGGGCATTACTGGTACTGACTCACTCCATCCTCAAAACCCTCACATTAACAGGACAGGCATGATCCCCATTTCACAGAGGGGCAGGCTGAGGGCACAGGGAGGCTAGGGAATCTGCCCAAGGACAGCCAGCCAGCAAACGGCAGAGCTGGGGCTGGCCTCCAGAGATGGAGATGTATGACAACTCTGCTGTTCTGCGTCTTACTGGGGTGTTAGGAGATGAGCCGCTGCATATAGGATCCTCAGAACAGTGCCAAGCATGCAGTAGGCGCTGCACAAATGCACGCTGGGCTTTGATTCTGATTAAAAGGTAGAAGGGTGGGAAGGACACAGGACCAGGAGCTGGAACACAGGTGCAGGGGCCCGTCCACACCAGCCCCACGGCGGGAAGCACAGAGGCCGCTGGTTACAACTATTATCATTATTAATAAAGCCTTTGCAAACTGTAAAGTGCTGGACAGGCACAAGGCAAGACCATTCGCATCAACTGTGCACACAGTGGTCCTCTGCCCCTGGGAATAGGATGGGAGTTAACAGAATTAGCAGGGGAATCTGCCCCTGCCTGGGCTGGCCACCCATGCCTCACCTGGCTGGCAAAGGGCAGGCCCAGCCTCCGAAGAAGAGGTGCCGTGTGGCTGACATTCACCACCAGCTCTAGGGGGCCATTCACTGGCCGGGCCACCAGGGCTGCCGCGTCCATGCTGATCCCACCGTCCCCACCTTGGAGGACCACACAGGCCTGCGTCTGGGTCTCTAGAGACAGAGAATGGCAAAGGCTGCTGGGAACTGGGGTTCATTTCCCTTTCCAGTTTAGGGTCGCACCCTGCGGAGACCAGTGAGACTGACCTGGGCGAGCCTTTCACCTCTGAGTCCCTGTGACAGCATCTGTCATGAGGCTTCCCCCAGTCTTGGCCTGGCCAGCTCCTCTCACTGGAGTCACTGCTGCTATGACACCTCCTCCGAGCAGCCTCCCCTGATTGCCCCTCTAAAGTACCTCCCAGCCCGTCCTGCTTCCTCCCTCGCCAGAAGGTCAGCTCCATGAGGGCAGGATCTTTAGTATATTTCCTTCCCTGCTGTGACTCCAGCACTTAGTACTGCCTCAGACACATCACAAGTGCCCAGAACCTGAGGGAGTGAACAAACTGATGATGCTTTTCTCCAGGGTTAATACAATATCAAATCAATATCAAATGATATTGACCTGCAGCTTGCCTGGACCAGGTAGAAGGGTCTGTACCCTCCCCCAGCATGTGCGGGCATCTCTTTGAGTCTCCTGCCTCCAATCTAGGCCACAACTCAGCTCAGCAGACAAAAGAAACCCCTCCACGAAAGGAGATTCTGGGATCTCGCTCAGCCCCATCACCTGGGAGGCTCTCCTTGGCAGGCAAGGACAAGCTGGCAACTCTGAGCCTTAATTTTCTCACCTACAGGGTGGGCATAGGCTACCCACCTCGAGAGACATCGCCAAGATTAACCAAGATAACACATGTGCGTGCTGGGCACATAGCACGTCTCATGAAGGGTCTGTCTCCTTCCTTCACAATGCAGCGTTCAACCACGTGCACCTACTCTGTGTGGGGCATGAGTGGGGAGGGGACACACTCACCCCCCTTGCCCAGGGAGGTTCCTGATTGTGGGGACATCAAGAATGTTGACACCAGGCAGAACATGCCCCCTGAGAGACTGGCACAGCGGTGGGGGAGGTGAGAGGCCACCGTGGCTGAAGGCTGGCACACCAGGCCTCCTGGCCCCGGGAACTGGGGCCATACGGAATCATTCCTGGGACACCTGTCCCATCACTAGCCCACCACATCCCCAACAAACCCTCCCTCAGAGCAGTCTGTGAGGTCAGCTCACACTAAGTCAGTCCCCTGTCTGATCCAGGCGCCTGCTCACCCTGCAGGAGGCTGAGAACCAAGGATGGAAGAGTTCGAGGCCAGAAGAGGACCAACCAGGAGACTCGGGGCCACCCAGGGATCATGATCTCTGCCATCTACACGGGGTCGGGGGGGATCAGAGGGTGGCTCTGGAGTCATGCTGCCTAGATTCATCATGAGCCAGCTGTGTGGTACGGGACAAGTGACTCAACCTCTCTGCAGAATGGGGATGGTGTTACTCACCACTCCCTCATACCCGTTCACTCAACAGATGATTAACTGAGCACTTACTATCTGCCACTCTGCAAACAAAGAGTGGAGTGTGGGGTGGATGGAATGTGGGAAGTGAGAAATAAGAATATTTAAGAAGTGAGTTACACAGCTTGTTAGAATGACAAAGTCTGGGAGAGAGGTGGGGAGCTGGAGGGAGGTGGGGGTGCAAATAAATAGGGGGAGGGGAAGGCCTCAATGAGGAGATGATATTTGAGAAGTAGGTGGTGAGGGACTGTCTCCTTGTTTCTCCCACAAGAAGTCATGTGAGGAAGAGCATTCCAGGCAGAGGGAACAGAATGTGCAAAGGTCCTGAGGCAGGAGTAAGCCTCATGTGTTGGAAGAATATCATACTAGCCCACCACATCCCCAACAAACCCTCCCTCAGAGCAGTCTGTGAGGTCAGCTCACACTAAGTCAGTCCCCTGTCTGATCCAGGCGCCTGCTCACCCTGCAGGAGGCTGAGAACCAAGGATGGAAGAGTTCGAGGCCAGAAAAGGACCAACCAGGAGACTCGGGGCCACCCAGGGATCATGATCTCTGCCATCTACACGGGGTCGGGGGGGATCAGAGGGTGGCTCTGGAGTCATGCTGCCTGGATTCATCATGAGCCAGCTGTGTGGTACGGGACAAGTGACTCAACCTCTCTGCAGAATGGGGATGGTGTTACTCACCACTCCCTCATACCCGTTCACTCAACAGATGATTAACTGAGCACTTACTATCTGCCACTCTGCAAACAAAGAGTGGAGTGTGGGGTGGATGGAATGTGGGAAGTGAGAAATAAGAATATTTAAGAAGTGAGTTACACAGCTTGTTAGAATGACAAAGTCTGGGAGAGAGGTGGGGAGCTGGAGGGAGGTGGGGGTGCAAATAAATAGGGGGAGGGGAAGGCCTCAATGAGGAGATGATATTTGAGAAGTAGGTGGTGAGGGACTGTCTCCTTGTTTCTCCCACAAGAAGTCATGTGAGGAAGAGCATTCCAGGCAGAGGGAACAGAATGTGCAAAGGTCCTGAGGCAGGAGTAAGCCTCATGTGTTGGAAGAATATCAAGGAGTGGAATGAGCAGGGGTCAGGAGAGAAGTCAGAGGGTCTGGATCCTCAGGACCCAGAGGCCCCACTGGGGGCTTCAAGCTTCCTTTGGTGTGAATGAGGTTGTTGAGCAGACTCACTGAGTTCCTATGTACTGAGAGCTTGCCTCAGGGATTATATATGCAGTAATCACTCAATCAAGGCCGGCTCTTGGGACTTCCCTGGTGGCCCAGGGGCTAAGACTCCACAATCCCAATGCAGGGAGCCTGGGTTTGATCCCTGGTCAGGGAACTAGATCCCACATGCTGCAACTAAGAGCTTGCATGCTGCAACCAAAGATTCCATGTGCCACAGCTAAGACCCAGCACAACTAAATAAATAAATAAAAATAAAATTCCTCATTAAAAAAAACCAAACCAAACAGTAACAAAAACACTGACTCTTATTATTGTTACCTTCCCTTCCTCCTCCAATATGGTTTAAACTATTTCCCCTTAAAAATTATGCTTGAAGTCCTAACTCCCAGGACTTGTGGAAGCGCCCTTATTTGGAAATATGAGTGGTGGCTCAGTTGGTAAGGAATCCACCTGCAATGCAGGAGACCTGGGTTCAGTTCCTGGGTTGGGAAGATCCCCTGGAGAAGAAAGTGGCAACCCATTCTACTCATCTTGCCTGGAGAATCCCATGGACAGAGGAGCCTGGTGGGATACAGTCCATGGAGTTGCAAGAGTCGGACACGACTTAACAACTAAACCACAAAGCAAGCCAAGGTGAGGCGCTGAGCTGGGATGGACCCTAATCCAATGGCTAGCATCCTTACAGAAAGAAAAGAAGAGGCAGAGACTGGGGGGCAGAGACCAGGGTTATACAGCCATAAATGCAAGAATGCCTGGGGCTACCGGGAGCTGGCAGAGGCAAGTAAAGGTTGAATCCTAAAGACTCAGGAGGGAGCATGGCCCTGATCACACCTGGTTTCTGACTTCCAGGCTTTAGAAGTTGAGAGATTAAATTTCTGTTGTTTTAAGCCACCCAGTTTATGGTATGTTGCCTTGGCCGCCCTGGGAAATGAATACACGCTCCTTTAAGAGTCAGGTTCCAAGGCCAAGGGCATCCTGGTTAGTCCTGGAACTCAGGGTCACGCCGGGCCTGAGGCTGGCGGGCAGGTGTCTGTGTAGGGGGGCTGACTCCCGACCCCGGGCAGGGTCCGGCCGCCTTACTCTGCCTCTGCAGCTCGGCGCCAAGGCGGGCCTCTCCCGGGAACCCCGCCTGCCGCAGGGCCCAGCTGTTGTGTTCACTCCAACCAGAGAACTCCAGGCGCCCATTGCGGTGATGGCAGCTCACGGAGTAGTTCAGAGACGTGGACCCTGCCGAGATGCGTCCTGAATTCTCAAAGCCAGTGCCGCTGCTGTCAACGTCCGCGGAGACCTGGAACAACACCCAGGAGATGCCGGACCACCCCGAGCAGAGAGAGCCAGCCTGGCCCAGCTAGGACCAGCTCCCACAGACCCTGGGGTCTTGTACCGTCCACACCACTGGGGTGGGAAGAACCAGGGCCCTGAGAGAGCAGGATGGGTTACACTTGGCAAACTTCACACGTGCTGTTTGGCATTATAGGGCAGGGAGGTGCCTGCTGAGGAGTGATTGCTCGTGGGTAACAGGGTTCCCATCTGGGGGAATGAAAATGCTCTGAATTAAGAGAGTAGCTAAACAAATTTATCAGTGTACTAAATACCTAAATTGTACAGTTTAAAATAGCTCAGGGGACTTCCCTCAAAGTCCAATGGTTAAGAATTTGCCTTCCAATGCAAAGGGTGAGGGTTTGATCCCTGGCCAGGGAACTAAGATCCCCATGGCCAAAAAAACCAAAACATAAAACAGAAGCAATATTATAAGAAATCCAATAAAGACTTTAGAAAATGGTCCACGTAAAAATATCTTTAAACAAAATAAAACAGTTCAAATGGTAAAGACTTATTTCACCACAATAAAAGTTAATAAATTTTTTAAAAAAAAACCTTTTTTTTTGAAAGTTAAAAATATACAACTTGGAAGACTTTAGACAGGGTGTGAGCTCTCTAGGTCCCCTTACAGCCCACCAGATACACTGGAGTTCTCCACGGGGCCCCAAAGGCTTTGAGTTTGCAAGCACCCCACCATGTGCCGTGAGTTAATCACTGAAGCCAGAACAGCATATGAGCCATGGCGGGCAGAACACAAGTGCGTGTCAGCAGATGGCGAGCAGATCCCTGCTTTAAGTCACCCGCTCTACAAAGCGGGAGGAGTCACTCCATCATTCAGCCATGCTGACTGAACACCTACCACTGGCTGGGTCCTGTTAAAGCTTAGGAGGCTGCCACACGTGAGACAGACAGACATGTCTGAACTTGTACATTACCACGTGGAGCTTAGAGACCAGCAGTGGGAGTCAGATCGGGACAACACCGAAGGCATCACGTGTCGGATGATGGGAAGCCGATGGAAAAGAGAAAGCTGGGGAGAGGCTAGGAAGGGTACGGCACGGTAAAGCTGCAGCTACAGCGGTCTCTGGTCCCAGTTCCTGCTGACAGTTGGTCTTCAACCCCAGTTCCTGGCACAGAGCCCATACAGCCTTGTAGACTGAGTGATGGGGTGACAGGAGAATACGACACGGAGCTCATAGGTCCCTGGGATTTCCTGGGTGATAGGAGAGTCTTTGTTCTAATGAGGTGACGCTAAAGCTAAATCCCTGCTTTAAGTCACCGGCTCTATAAGCAGGGGAGGGGGCTCTAGAGCACAAGAATGTATAACAGTCCTGAGGGCACGGCTGGGTGAAGGAAATGAATACTGAAAGTGAAAAGTGAAGGGAAAGTCGCTCAGTCGTGTCCGACCCTTTGCGACCCCATGGACTGTAGCCCCCCAGGCTCCTCTGTCCATGGGATTCTCCAGGCAAGAATACTGGTGTGGGTAGTGGATCCCTTCTCCAGGGGATCTTACAAACCCAGGGATTGAACCCAGGTCTCCCGCATTGCAGGCAGATTCCTTACCAGCTGAGCCACAAGGGCAAAATGAGTATCAGCAACCCCAATTTCCAGATGAAAAGACTGAGGCTCAGAGGGAGGTCTGAAGCTTGTTCTACCATCCCCTTGTCTTGGAGATACTTCCAAAAAGGTTTGTTGAATGAATGAAAGATTTTCATTATCACTGCCTCTCGCCAAGGCTGACCTGAAGGGCCACCCTGTCCTCCACCCACAGCGTCCGCAGCGCGGGCATGTTGTGCTGGAGTCTGCAGTCCAGGGAGACGTGCTCTGGCCACCGAGTGAAGGTCAGCTCCTCGGACACCTGTCAGGGTGGAAGACATGGGACCAGGGCCATCGGGCCAGTTCCCAGCCCCACCAAGCCCGCCCTCACCCCGGCAGAGCACCCACCTCTTTGCCATCCACTCCAACCCGCAGGCTGTGTCTGTAGCTGGGCCCGAGCCTCTCGTTGGTCAGGTATAGCAGGATCTGGGCTGGGAGGGCCAAGGGGTTGGGCTGAGGCAGGTTGTGTGTGAGCAGCAAGTTTACCTCCTGCTGGGTCTATAACAGAGCAAGAAAAACCAAGACTCAAGGGAGAGATCACCAAGAGATATTTGCAAACCTGTGTTCATAGCAGCACTCTTCACAATAGCCAAAGGGTGGAAGCAACCCAAGTGTCCACTGATGGAAAAATGGATCAACAAAATATGGGCCATTCATACAATGCAGTATTATTCAGCCTTAAAAAGGAAGGAAATTCAATAGAGCTGGGGTTGGGAGTGGGGTGGGAAATGAGGAGTTGTTAAATTGTGGGTAGTTTCAGTTTTGCAAGATAAAGAGAGTTCTGGACACGGACGGTGGTGATGGCTGTACAACCACGTGAATGTATTTAATGCCACTGAATGTGCACTTGAAAGTGGCTAAGATGGTAAATTTTGTCATGCGTTTTATATCACAATGAAAACATTTTTAAAATGAAATCAAAATGTACTTAACTAGACACTACCCAAATGCTAATGGATAAGATAAATAGATGAATCGTGATACCAGCACTCCATGGAATACTATACAGTAGTGAAAAAGGATACAGACCATGTGAATCCCACAAACGTCATGCTGAACAAAAGAGGGCAGATGCAAAAGGGAGAAGGCTGTGTGCTTCCATGAACATGACATTAAGAGAGTCTGATGATCAATGGGCCCTGGGGAGTTAGGATGGGGGAGGGGCGGCTGAGGGACCTTCTGCTCAGAACTCTTGTCCCTCTACTCATGGACCCTGAAGCTCTCATCTGCCAGGGTCCTCTCTGGAGCTCAGCTCATATCCAAATGCTTCTCTCATCAGGAGCACATGGCCCCGGCATCCCAGGCCATCCTGGTCTGCCCCCCACCCGTCTGCACCCTCACCTCGGTGGTACTGAGGACAAGCAGCCCCCGGAGCATGCTGGCATCCATGGTGACCAGCACCTGAGCGTCCACGGCCGTGGAGTTCACCACAATGTAGCCAGAGCCGTTGACTTGGCCTGGGACCCCCAGGGCCTGGAAGGGTTGAAAGAAATGGAAGTAGGGCTTCTTAACTAGGGTGGGGTCACTAGTGGGCATGAGGGGTCCCATGATCTCCCTTGAACTGAAAACAAAATGTGGTGAGGATGTGCCCACATGAGTTTCTACAGGAGAGGGTTTGCGACTTGGGTCAGATTTTAGGAGTGTCAGAGGGCCTCGCCTCAGTAGCCCTGCACTGTCCAATGAGCTTCCTCTGGCCCCTTTCTGGACACTCCAAACCACAAAGATCACATCTTTATGCTCCAGAGAATCTTATCCCTTGAAACCAACTGGTCAAGAGCCTTCTAACACTGGCAGCTCTGAAACATGCATTTCCCCTCCTCTCCTCCCCTCCCCCAGCCCCTCCACCTCCCCAGGCGCACAGAACCCAGACACCTGATCTTGAGAGGCGATGGGAGCCTGTCCAGGAAGTAGGCTGCAAGGCCGGCCCACGTGGGCATCTCCCTAGGCTCTGCCCATCAGCGCATGCACATCTCCGAGCACAGGGCTGGTCCATCTAATCGTGAGAGTGGGGGCGGTCACTGCACCCCATCTACGATGATGACTCTGAAGCCCGGGGAGTGACAGGGATGTGCTCAAGGCCACCAGGGACAAGGGGCAGAACCAACATTCAGAGTCTGGGCTTCCTGGCCTCACAGGCGGCCTTCCAGTGCCCACGACAGCTGCCCGACTCCACCTGCCTGACACAGCGTTTGGCCCTATTAACCTTTCCTCCCCTCTTGGAACCCTTTCCTCCCCAGTCTGAGACCCCCTTCTCCCTTGGGGTTCCTCCTCCTCCTGGCTTGTTCTTCTTGGTACCCTTGGCTGCTTCCTCCTCATCTTCCCCAGCTTTGCAACCTGAGTGCTTAGTCTCCACCCACCCCACAGCCATCTCAGCCAGTCTATGACTTTTTTAAGAGCTTTTTTCTTTTTGATGTGGACCATTTTAAAAATCTTCATTGAATTTGCTATGATATAGCTTCTGTTTTATGTTTTGGTTTTTGGGCCCTGAGGCATGTGGGATCTTCGCCCCCTGACCAGGGATTGAACCTGCACCCCCTGCATTGGAAGGTGAAGTCTTAACCCCTGGACCACCAGGGAAGCCCTCAGTCCATGGCTTTAAATGTGACCACCGAGAGGAGGAGACCTCCAGTTCAGACCACAGCCGACCTCCTGATTGCCCCCACCGTCTCCCCTTGGGCGTTTAAGAGCCCCGTCAGATTTAACACATTCAACAAGGGCCTGTGAGTCAGAGACACCCTCTCCCCAGCTCTCCTTCTCCACCCACGTCCTTCCTATCACCAGGAACAGCAGCAGCCCCAGTCCTCTTCTCACAATCACCATCTCGCTCCCCTATTTCTCACACCCACATCTGACTTCTAGCCAATCCTCTCTCTCCACCTCCGTGATGGATCCTGAATCCGAGGGTGCTCTCACCCCCTGGGCTTTTTATAAAACAGAAGTCAGCAAATGCCAGCCCACCAGCCACATCCAGCCCGCTGCCTGTTGTAAATAAAGCTTTATTGGAACACAGTCATGCCCATTCACCGCATACTGTCTATGGCACATTGCACTACAATAGCAGCGCTAAGTAGTTACAACAGCCGCTGAGTGGCCTGCAAAGTCTAAGATATTTGCTATCTGGACTTTTATAGAGACGGTTTGCTGATCCCAGTCCTAGAGGATGCCCTTCCCTCTCCAGCCCTGCCTCAGGGCCTTTGCACTGGTCATGCCCAGAAAACCCTGTCCCCTTGGGACTTCTCTGGTAGTCTAGTTACTAAGACTTCACACCCTCAATGCAAGGGTCCTGGGTATGATCCCTGGTCAGGGAACTAGATCCCATACCCCGCAACTAAGAGTTCACATGCCACATCTAAAGATCCCACATGCCTCAACTAAGACTTGGTGCAACCAAATAAATAAACAGAAATAAATATTTTTTTTTAAAAAAGAGAAAACCTTCTCCTCAGATACCCACAACCCTACTCTCTCCTCTCCTTCAGGTCTGTGCTTAAATGTCATCCTGTTTGGGGGACCAACTTTGACCGACATACAAAATTGCAGTATCTGCCCTGTTTTCCATGACCCCCTTTTCCCACTTTCTCTCTCTCCTAGCCCTCACCCCTGTGTAATACACTCCACAATTCAGTGACTTATCCTGGGGGTTGCCTGTCTGCCCCAGGGAGGCACTCATCTCTGCTGTGTTTACAGCTGTGTGTCCAGGGCTTAGAGGAGGTTCTCCACTCCTCCAGGGTTCACCCCATCTCTCTCACTTTGGCAATGGTTAAAAAGGAGGGTTCCCACCTGGAGACCCTGGTGCTCACCCCTCCCACTCACCCCCGGCACACGTACCTGCAGGGCCTCGCAGGAGCTCTCGGCCACCACCCGCCACTGCAGCTGGCGGTCTAGCTGCAGCTCACCGCTGCCCTGAAGCTCGCAGGCCCCTGAGTGCAGCTCCAGGCGCAGCCGGTGCCCGGCCTCCCACCCACACTGGACGGTCAGTGAGGTCTCCGGGGGAAGGGCATGCAGTGCAGACAGCGTGGGCCTCAGTTTTGCTTGGAGTGTGGCCTCAGATGGGTGCAGGGTCACCGCCAAGGTCAAGGAAGCAGTCTGGCTGGCTGCTGCAAGGACCCCTGATGCTTCTGCTTCCCCACCCAAGGCCTGCCGGGCGTCGCTGAACTGCGTCCCTGCTGGGAGGCCCAGGTCCTGCTGGACCACAGAGAGAGGGGTCAGAGGGTGGTCCCACACCAGTGAGTGGCCTGATTCTCCATCTTCAACCCTCTTCCCCCCGTCCCTCCCCCACTACAGCAACACCAAAACTGCAGCTTCAATCACAACACACAACAGTTGTCCATCAGAGAACACTCAGTACACACAGTCTCACACTGAGTGTTTCATCAGAATGTTCTCTTTTCACCCTATTCCAATGACTCTGAGAGTGGTAGTTACCAGTCCCCATTTTACAGATGGGAACACTGAGGCTCAACAAGGCAAAGTCATTGCCCAGAATCACATGGCTAATAAGTAGACAAGCTAAGGTTTGCACCTGATCTGTCTTCAGTCTGTGCTTCCCCTCTATGCTGTCCATTAGGATCATCACTAATCACGTGGGGCTGGTTCCCTCTATATTAAAATGAAGTCCAAGTAAGAACTCAGTTTCTCTGTAGCATGAGGAAAAATCATCTTAAGCCCTCAGTAGCTCCCTGTGGCTAGCGGCTGCAGTCCTGGATAGCAAAGAACATTTCCATCATCACAGAAAGCCCTAGTGGGTAGGCCTGCTTCATCCCATGATGCTCTGCTCTCTTGTGGACCAATCCTGTGTTGACCTGATTAACACTGACAGAACGTCTGCCAGCGCCCAGCCCTCTGCTCAGGGATGCTGAGTGGACCAGACCGACCCTGTCCCTGTGCCCAGGAAGCTCCATCAGGAGACACAGGGCAGGGGCCTGTCCCACTCCGACGAGGGCACCAGCCCTGTCTGCTGACCTAGACTCCAGCTTCCCCCTTTCCTGAATCACGGGGTCCCCTTCCCCCAAACACCACAGGACACTTCTCAGACTCTCTCTCAGCTCAGATAAAATCCAGCCTGTGGTTTTTAACAGGTTATGAAACCAAGATGCAACTGTTTCCAACTGTCAGCTGAGAAGAATTCCTCTCATTCCCTTCCTGCTCTTAAAATTTTACTAAGACAGATTCTCATAAATTCTGAGTCTGCGGTCCTCAAGTTTCATGGCACTGTGAGCCTCTAATCTCACCCAGCCTCGATTTCCTCATCTGTCAAATGGGGACACGGGATGAGAGAGAAGAGGGGTCAGAGTGTCCAACAGGGCTTTGGGGAAATAGTAGCTGGTCTTGGGAAGTCCCTGGAGGGGGTGTCAGCCAGGCTCAGGCCTCACGCTGACGGGAAGCTCCTTTCCAGACACCTCGCTGGCCCGCTATACACACCTCCAGCAGCGGGCAGCCTGGCTCGGTGGCCAGAGTCCACGTGCTCTGGTTCTCAGCGTGCTGCTCCAGGGCACCCTGCAGCCGGCACGGCCCCATCTGGAGGGACAGGGAGCTGTAGTGGGCGGGGCCAGGCTGGACAGTCAGGCTGATGGCACTCCGGGGTGGCAGGCCCAGTCGGCCCAGGAAGGGCAGGGAGTGGGTCAGGTGCCCCAGGACCAACGTCTGGGGCCCGCAGGTACGGGCCAACTGCAGGTGGGCGTCTCCACGGTCACTATGGAAGTCCATGGTCAGGTCAAACTCGCAGAGGCCCCAGCTCAGGCTGCCCTCTGAGCGCAGGGCCCGCGGGATTCCTGTCGCCTGGGATATGGAGAAAGTGGTTGGATTTCGAGTGAGTGCCAGAAGCCAGGAGGCGCTAGTGATAAAGAACCCACCTGCCAATGCAGGAGACATAAGAGATGCGGGTTCGATCCCTGGGTCAGGAAGATCCCCTGGAGGAGGGCACGGAAACCCACCCCAGTATCCTTGCCTGGAGAATCCCACGGACAGAGGAGCCTCGTGGGCTACTGTCCATGGAGTCACAGAGTCGGACACGACTGAAGTGACTCAGCACACACACACACACCAGAAGTCAAGGTGGGGGAGCTGGAGACGCATCTGGATGGGAAGAGGGCAGCAGTGGCCCCACGGCCTAAACTCTATCAGCTCCTCCTTCTACAAGGTGAGCGATACCAAGGGTACCCCATCGAGAGATGTGGGCTCAAATTCCCGTTCTACCACTAATTCGGTCTCTCCAAACCCACAGTCTCAGTTTACCCATCTCTAAAATGGGAGTTGATCATAAGTTGCTGGGAGATGGAAGTAAGTTAATCCTTGTGAATCCAGAGCCAGGCACCCAGAAAGCACTGGCTATTGGAAAGAGATCACGAACATCAATGTTCACTTGCTGGAGGGCAGAGACTTTAAGCAACTCACTCCACTGGGGCCTAAGACATACCCCACATGGGGGCACAGACCCAAGATGGGAATGAAAGGGTCCCCCCACCTCTTGGGGCCCCAGTGTATCATGGGGGGCGAGGGGGTATAAGCAGCCCTTTCCCCCAGAGGTGAGGATTCAAGGGGCCTCAGAGTATACTCAATACTCTTGTTATTACTCTGTATTAGCCTCATTCTTACTCCTGGATCCTTAACCCCAGGGATGCAGGAAGTGAGAAATAAGAACAGAACCAACTTGAACCACAGAAAGGATGCAAAGCAGGGTCTCAGGAGGGCCCTTTGCAAAAGGGGAGAAAAATTGAACTCTGGTCCCATTTTTGGCTCAAAGCTTTATAGTCAATGAGTTCCCCAGTTTAAGGGACAACAGCAGAAGAAAAAAATAACCCAAAGTTTCTCATGCTGAGTGCAGAGCTGGGCATACAGTGAAAAAATGAAGACACTCTGTCGTGTCCGACTCTTTGTGACCCCATGGAGTGTAGCCTACCAGGCTCCTCTGTCCATAGGATTTTCCAGGCAAGAGTACTGGAGTGGGTTGCCATTTCATACAGTAGGTGTTAATAATTTATAAAGGGAGGTGGGAACCCACACCGACAGGGGTGGGAGGCTTACCTCCAGCAGAGGGCAGTGATTCACCAGGACCAGGGTCCAGTTGTGTGTGGCGCTGGCCTCTGACCTGAAGTCCCCACGGGCGGTCAGGGCGCACAGGCCCAGGGCCACCTCCAGCTGGGCCCAGGGGGCTTCATCTCCCCCCATGGACATGCGGATGTGGTTGCTGGGGGGGACTCCCAGTGCCTGAAGTGGAGGCCACGCTTGCTGGAGGCCGGTGTCCAGGTGAGCACGGTGGCCGCAGGCTGAGTGGACGTGGGCTCGGGCGAAGGTGTCTCCAGACGACACCTGAGCCACCAGGCTGGCCCCAACGCTGTGCACCAGGAAGGAGCCGTTCAGTGTCAGCACAGCTGGATTCTGCAGCCAAGAAAGGCCAGGTGAGGGGTCCCTACAGCACCCCATGAAGTGTGTCCACTGTCCATTTGCCCACAGGTGGTCAGGAAAGCCCTCATCCTCCGGGGGCATCCATGATCTCTCTTCTCTTTGAAGAGCTGAACACACCCTCCCAGGGAGTCAAGAAATCTAACCATTCAGAGCAATTTGGGGTCCCTCATGCCCTCTTCCCCTGGGGCTTCCCTGGTGGCTCAGATGGTAAAGAATCTGCCTGCAATGCAGGAGGCCTGGGTTCGATCCCTGGGTTGGGAAGATCCCCTGGAGAAGGGCATGGTAACCCACTCCAGTATTCTTGCCTGGAGAATCCCATGGACACAGGAGACTGGCAGGCTACAGTCTATGGGGTTACAAAGAGTCAGACATGACTAACGGACGAACAAGAACAAAAAATGCCCCCTCCCCTGAGGTCTCTGTTTTCGCCTCTCTTTTCCACAATAGAGTGCGGGCCTCTCAACCTCTCTGGTCTGAACACATCCCTCTTAATGCCCCAAATGGAAGTCACTTGTGCCTCTAAGTGGCATAATTCTCAGGACCTGGGGTTCTGGAGAGTGGGAATCTGCAACCCCAGGACAGAACCAGGAGCTGCCCTCAGCCCCTTCCTGTCACTCAGCACTCAGCTGTCTGCCTGGGGCGGGGACAGCGTCACCGGTGATGGGGTGAACGCATGTATCAACTCCACCGCAGCTAAATGGAGACCACAAGTGGAGCCACAGAGCTCGGGGTGGCCTCCCATGGTGCCCAGGGCATGGTTCTCCTGCTTGGATGTCACTGGCCTGCTCCAGGACTGAGGAATGCCCCTTTTCAAGCCCTTCCCTGGAATTCCAGGCCATGACTCTCAGAGGGAGGTTCCATCCACTCACAGGTCCTGTCCTAACCCTCCTGTGCAGTTAGTCCTTGCAGCAATCACCCCTCCCCTCCTGCCGCCGGCTCTGAGTCTTTCTCACACATGTAACTACTCATTCCACATACCCCCTAGTCTTAAGTTTCCTCTGGGGGGAGGCAGCCCATCTGCCCCTTAAGACCCCTTCAATCCTGATCCTCAATTCCCTTGGTTAACCCTCCTGCCATCTAGGCCACTATGCGACCCTAGGAAGGTGACTTCACCTCCCTAAGCCTCAGTTTCCACATCTGTAAAATGACATTATGATTCCCTGGTAGCTGAAACCAGGGCCAAAGAGAGGGTACCCAACTGACACGGCACTTAAAGTGCATTGGTCCACTTCCTGCTCGACAGCATAAAGTAGGGACATACTGTACAATGCCACCTGCAGTATACAGATGACAAGGCTGAAGCTCAGAGAGGTTAAGGCCTGGCTAAAAGTCACACAGCAGGTGAGTGGCAGGTCTGGGCAGGAAGCTGTGGTAGTTTGATTTGTCTGGTCCTTGTGTCTGCCTGTGTTGGGTGAAGTCAGTAGCACTACCCAAGCTGGAGGCATGAAAGCATCACATCGTTTGTGCTCACAGAGGTGACACTGGCCGAAACCATCCTCCCCAAGGAGGTTCCCTCTACCTGGTCAGCCAGGTGGTGAGCCCACAGCACTGGCTCCCAGGGCCCTCCGGCAGTGCCCCAGGTGGGACACCCAGTAGCACCCATTCAACACCTCCAGATTCGGGTCTCCCTGGTCCCCGAGCAGGTCAGTTCCTTGGGCTGGCTCCCCCAGGGGATCCAGCACGCAGCCAGCCAGGTGAGTATGCGCCTCCCCCAGAACCATCCCAGGGCTATGCTCACTGGCTGGTCACCCCACAGCCAGCTGGGCTGAAAGCTCTGCTGAGCCAGGCCTACAACCAGCTGTCTGCTCAGCTGCCCATGAGGGCAGTCCTGACTGGGTCCAGTTCACCCACAGCTCTTGGTCCAGGAGACACTGGGCCCCGCTGGAAATGAGGGCATCCAAATGCTGCACGCAGGCCTCCCCACCACGCTTTGCCTTTGAAGGAGATAACCTACTGTTCACCAGGGCCCTGTCCCGGGAGAGTTCAGAGCATCACAGGCTGGGCTGAGTCCCAACATGGGCAGCATGTGTGCCTGTAAGGCCCACGCTCTGTCTGCCCCGAAAGACCCAGATATGCCTGTCACCAGCCCAGACCACGCCCAACCCCACCCCCCAGGGCAAAGGCTGGCTTGAAACACTTGGATCCTGGGTCCTTGTCACTGTGTTTACAGAAGGAACCACCCATCCGCTGTCAGTCTGGGCTGGGAGCCCAGATGCATGTCCCTGGGGATGCGAAGGGCTTGCAGGAGGGGACTGTGCAGGTCAGCCTGGCAGGGGCCACAGGCCTTCCCTAAGCCATCCAGCAGGAAGGCCTTGGTGCTCAGACTGTACCTGTCCTTCCCCACCCTTCCCCGGAGGCAGACCACCATCTACCATGGCTGCCCTAATGGTGACAGAGGCCCTGGTACCTCAAGAAGCCACCCAGTGACGTCCCCCCATTCCCCCAGCAAAGCCCTGACAGCTGGGCAGGCATAATGCCTCCCCTGCAGCTGACCTAGGATGGCCAGCAGGGTGGGCAGGGGGCATGTGTAGGCATAGGTGTTTTCCCTAACCTTGACTGTGAACAGAGTGCTAAGATCCAATTGACCCCATCTCCCCTAGTGAAGGCTTCCCTGGGAAGATAACCCTCAAAGAGAGGCTTATGCAAACTGAGGTGCTAACCCACAGCATCGTCACAATCAGAAGTAACCAGAGCTCACGTCCTCACAGGGCCTGTGTGCCAGGTTCTCACTGGTTCCTCGTCGGATCCTCAAGGTAACTGTGGGAGGCAGGCATTATTAACAATCCCATTTTGCAGATGAGAACACTGAGGCACAGAGAGAGTAAGCAACTGGCCTGAAGTCACGCCATCGGTAAGCGACGAAGCAGCTTGGCTTCAGGTCGCACACCTTGCTCACTCACCCTGCCTCCCGCACGCTCTGGATGGTTTAACCACAACTGTGATGGGCACAGAGGTGGTTTCCTGTTTTTTGTTCTTGAGAGACCAATGTAAAAGACAGCTGGCCAACGTTCCAGGTTTCCCCAGGAGAACATGAACTGATGGGTGAGAGTCTCAGCAGTTTTAATTTTACCAGATAAACCCAGAGTGCCTCCACTCTCGTGCTACTTACGGGGGCAGGGGAGGGAGCAGTGCCAGGATGAGAAGACAAGTGGGCAGAAGAAAGAACAGAAGGCAGGGTGGGGAGGAAGAAAGGAAGGGAACGTGGGAGGGTGGGAGGAAAGGAGAAAGGATGGATGAGAAGGGAGGATGGGAAATTCTGTGAGAGCCTGGGAGGGAAGGTGGGCGGGGCTGGGGCGGTGGGCGGGGCAAGCTGGTGGAAACTGGGTAGGTTACTAGAGAAGCTGCAGAGACAGTGCGCCTGGCTTGGGCCTCACCCACGTGCGGACCTAAAGGTCACTTACCTGGAGCCTCATGAAGCTGGGATGCAGCCCCAGGGTCAGGTCCCGGTGGTCACCTGCTCCCCTCCTCTCCTGGGCTCCACCAAGCTCCTCGCCGTCCACGCTCACGACCAACCCCGCCTCCAGACTGGGTCCCGAGCTCTGGGCAGAAGCACAGCTGTGGGTGTCCCTCGGACCCACTGCCCGCACGAGGCCCCGGGCCCAGCCCTCTCACCCACCTGCAAGTGTCCACGGCCGTCCACGGAGAAGGGGAGGCCCCAGCGCCCGAGGCCGGGCACAGTATGGTGGAGGCTGGCTCGGAGCTGGCTGCCCGATGGGCTGGTGGCCACGCCCTCCAGGCCAAGGGCTGCATCCAGCTGACCCCCAGAACTTCGCAGCATCACCCGCACTGAGAAATTGGAAGCCACGTGGGTGTGTGACAGGAGCATCCCTGCCTGGGAGGAGAGCCCTGCGGGGGAAAGGAACCATGGAGATAGCATGCCCCACGGAGCCAGAACAGGGTCCCTGACAACCCGCCTTCTCTCTGGAGGGTCCCCTGAGCCCTGAGGTGAACTTGCCTCCCAGCTCCTTCCTAAGACCACAATGGCCACACCCAGCAAGTAATAGGCCCCATGTCCGCTTTGGATTCCTTGCTCCCTAAAGGTACGGATGGGCTCTTAGGAAGCAGGGGTCTGAGCCTGTGTTCTCACCTTGCTGCACCTTCAGGCCCATGGAATTGTTCCCAAGAAGCTAGAGCTGGGGGTGTCTGAGCTATTGCCTAACTGTGGTGCCAAGAACATCCTGGAAGTCCTGCTAAACCAGGTTTCCAAGCCCAGAAGCTGGACTGGGGGTGGGGAGTCCTGGGAGGAGGGACGGGTGGCAGGGGCTATCTGCCCTCCAGTTTGGAGGCATGTCTGTGGTGGTGGCGGCGGTAGTTTAGTTGCTAAGTCCTGTCCGACTCTTTGAGACCCCATGGCCTGTAGCCCGCCAGGCTCCTCTGTCCATGGGATTTCCCAGGCAAGAATACTGGAGTGGGTTGTCATTTCCTTCTCCAGGGGATCTTCCCGACCCAGGGGTCGAACTCACGTCTCCTGCTTGGCAGATGGATTCGTTACCACTAAGCCATCTGGGGAGCCTGGGTGTGTCTGTACTGGGTTGCAACTGATGTTCTGGCTGAATAAGAGCCCAGGGAAGATGGAGGCACTGGGAGAAGGTGGTAGGGGAAGGAGATAGAGCTGGGAGGTGGATTTAAGGACTGGGGGCTCTAACTCCCTTGGTTGCAGGCCCCGGGAGTCTTTAGGGAAAGAAGCCACTGGGCTCTCTCAGCCCCTCTTACCTGCCTCACTCAAAGCACTGATGTTGTGACTCAGGCTGCCAGAGAGCTGGCCATGCCCGGGGCCCCAGGTGCAAACCCCACCCAGAGCCAGGCTGGCCGTGTCTGCACGGAGGCTAGCCTGGCCCCCGAGGCTCCCTGTCTGGGCCTGCAGCTGCCCCCTAAACTGGAGCTCTCCTGGCAAGGCCTGGCTGCTGTTCTGGGCAAGGATGCAGGTCACACTGTGCACGCTGGTGCTGTTCCCTGCCCTCTCATGCTTGTCCCGCAAGAGCAATCCCAGCATGGCTGAGTTGGCGGTGACCTTGATGGTACCTGCAAAGGATGGGAGAGAGCCCGAGAAAAGAAGGGGGTCAGTCCAGGGCACTGTGCTGCTTTGGGAAGGAAGGAAAAGAACCCAGGGGCTGGAAGTTCCTATATCCATGATGTAATGTTAACTTATGTCAGAGAGAGCATATCTGAGAATAGGACCAAATGAAATCAGCTTGCCCTGCCACCAGGATGCTCCGAGGACCAAACAACCTAATTCACAAATAAAACAGCTTTGGCAAAAAAGCAGTAAGCCTGATAAGGCATGTCTGTTAACACCAGTGCTGAATCCTGCTCAAGAGAGTCACAGATCACCAGGATGGAATGGCCCCATTTTACAGGCAACAAAACTGAGACCCGGAAATTTTGGAATTTTAGGGAGAAAAAAATTGCTCAGAAGTCTCTTCCACCCACCTGGAGAAAAAGATTCCATACCCTTGATCCAGCCCATACATAAGTCATGCATTAGGGCTATTCTTGCTCTTATCAAAACCATTTAGGTTTGCTGACCTCACCAGTCTCCACTAGGGCCTTAATGTCGTCCAAGTGCCCAAGTTCCCTCCTGTCATTCAAGGTTTGACTCAGGGATCACCACCTCCAGGAAGCCTTGCTTGACCCTTCTGCAGCCACAGGCTTGGTTAAACACTCTTGTTCTATGCTTCCAGACGCCGAGCTCATGCTAAAAACTCTGTTACAGAGTACTTTCCATACAGATAGAACTTTCTCACAGAATCTTACAATCATCTTTTTTACAGATTCTTTACATTGTAGGGCCCTGTGTCTCCATGTCCTCTAAGAGGTTACCCTGTGTATTTATCTGGAAAACATGGATAATCAAGAGTAAAATTTCATTTGATTACTGTGAAGAAAAATGAAATAATGTCAATGGAATAGTATAGAATTCAAGAAGAAACCCACCACAAATGCTCACATTGATTTTTGACAAAAGTGCAAAGTGGAAAAAGGACAGTCCATTGAAAAAATGTGATGAATTGATTGGAAATCCACATGTAAAAAAGCTACCATGAACCTTGCCCAAACCTATACACAAATTAATTAAAAACTGACCACAGCAGAAAAGGGAACCCTCTAACACTGTCAGTAAGAATGTAAACTGGTACAGTCACTAAGAGAGAACAGTATGCAGGTCCTTAAAAAAAAATAAAAATAGAACTACTAAATGATCCAGCAATTCTACTCCTGAGCATATATCTGGAAAAGATGAAAACTCTAATTTAAAGAGATAAATATACCCCAATGTTTAGAGCAGCACTATTTATAATAGCCAAGACATGGAAGTGACCTAAGGATCCATTAACAGATGAATGGATAAAGAAGATGTGATACACACACACACACACACACACACACACACGATAGAATATTACTCAGCCATAAAAAGAAAATATTGTCATTTGCATAAACATGGATGGACCTAGAGATTATCATACTAAGTGAAGTAAGTCAGATACAGAAGATGCAATTAGAGAAAAGTCCAACCACAACAAAGACCCAGCACAGCCAATAAATAAATAAAATTACTTAAAAAAAAAAAGACTAGCCATAGATATTTTCAAACTACATATCTGATAAAGGACTTGTATAAATGACTCCCACATTCAATAAGAACCCATGCAACTCAATTTCTTAAATGAGCAAAATGTTTTTTTGTTTCCTTGCTTTTTGGCCATGCCACCGTGAGGCATGGGGCTCTTAGCTCCCCAGCAGGGATTGAACCTGCACCCACTGCACTGGAAGCTCAGCGTCTTAACCTCTGGACCACCCAGGAATTCGATAAAGTAGGCAAAACGTCTGAATAGACACTTCACCAAAGAAGATTTACAAGTGGCAGATAAGCCTATGAAAAGATGTTCAACAAAATTAGTCATTTGTGCGTTTAGTTGCTCAGTCATGTCTGACTCTGAGACCCCATGGACTGTAGCCCCCCAGTCTCCTCTGTTCTTGGGNCAAACATGAGTTTGAAATGGATTAACACAGTATATAATTCTGACAGAAGAGAGACTACGGTGGTTCAGACGGTAAAGAATCCACCTGCAATGTGCGAAACCTGGGTTTGATCCCTGGGTTGTGAAGATTCCCTGGAGAAGGGAACGGCTACCCACTCCAGTATTCAGGCCTGGAGAATTCTATGGACTATATAGTCCATGGGATTGCAAAGAGTTGGACACGACTGAGCGATTTTCACTTTCATTCACAATCGAAAAATACCAGAAAAAACCCAAATACCTTTCAGCTGTGAATGGATAAACTGCAGCACTGGGACTTCCTAGGTAGTCCAGCAGTTAAGAATTCTATGCAGGTTCGCTTCCTGGTTGGAGAACTAAGATCCCACATGCCATGGGATAACCAAGCCCATGTATGTGCCCAACCACTGAGCCCGTGTGCTGCAACCAGAGATACCATATGCTGCATCTAAGACCCAATGCAGTCAAATAAATAAGTAAAATATTTTTAAAACTGCAGCATATCCACACAATGGAATACTACTCACCAATAAAAAGGGGGAAAACTACTGATACATACAACTTGGCTGAATATCAACCACATTATGTAGGGCAAAAGATGTCATACTCAGAGTTTCCATGTGATATGATTCCATTCATGTGACATCTTGGAATAGCCCAAACTACAGGGACAGACAAGTGGGTGATTGCCAGGGACGGGGGCGGGGCAGGGGGCAAAGGTTAACAACAATGAGCAGCAGGAAGGAACTTCGGGGGGAGATGGAATTGTTCTGAATCTAGACTATATTGGTGGGTACACACCAGTTTATCAGAACTGAAAGCGTTCTTCCCTGTATGTAAATTGTGCCCCGAAGAAATTATACGTCGATAATTGCCTTCTTTGGAAAGCAGAAATAGAGACACAGACAAACAGAACAATGTGTGGATGCCAAGGGGGGAAATGAGAAGGTGGGACTGGCATATATACACGACCATGTATAGAACAGAAAACTAATGAGAACCTACTGCCTAGCACAGGGACCCCTTCTCAGCGCTCAGTGGCCACCTAAATGGAAAGGAAATCCAAAAAAGGGATATATGTATAGGGATAGCTGATTCACTTTGTTCTACAGCAGCAAATAACACAACGCTGCAAAGTGGTTTTTTTTTTTTTTTAATAAACAAATATGTGTTAAGATCAGCATGCAAGTCTGTTATCACCTGCAAATGACAAACTTCAGAAAGATGAAGGGGAGACCACAGTGTAAATCAAAGTAAACTTGAGAACAGTACCCTGATGTAACTTTCTTTATTTGATTATGTTTAAGTTTTTTCAAACCTATGTCATACAGTCTTAGGTATTTTATTATGCAATTTGCTTTTTTTTTATGTGGACCATTTTAAAAGTCGCTACTGAATTATAATATTGCTTCTGTATTATGCTTTGCTTTTTTGGCCATGACACAAATGGGATCTTAGCTCTCTGACCAGGCATTGAAACTGCACCTTACCCACGTTGGAAGGCAAAGTCTTCACCACCAGACTGCCAGGGAAGTCCCTGCAATTTGGTTTTGCCACAATTTAGCCGATTAGAAATTAGGAGGGTTGGTGTTAAATATTACTTCAAGAGGAGAGAATGATTCTATTTCCCCGAGGTTGGTAGAAAAGCAGAGTCTTTAGTTTCTAAAAAACTAGGCCCTGGACAGATGTTCAGCCAGGGCACTACGGTCAAGGATATTTGGGCAAAAAAATCCCTTTTTGTGAAATCCTGACTTTTGGAACCCTGCAGTTTCACATAATCAAAAAATAAATACACAAAGTTGATCAACTGGAAACTTGAAAATGGAATATAAACAGAAACCAGTGAACCAATTGTATTTCAAATGACTAACAGTATCACACAGGATGGGTGGGAGATTAACCCCAACTAATGTTTAAACACCGTATTTATATTTATTTTTGTGTGTTTAGTCGCGTGCAACTCCTTGCGGCCTCATGGACTATATACCCCACCAGGCTCCTCTGTCCATGGAAGTTTCCAGGCAAGAATACTGGAGTGGGTTGCCATTTCCTACTCCAGGAGATCTTCCCGACCCAGGGATTAATATTACTTCAAGAGGAGAGAATGATTCTATTTCCCCGAGGTTGGTAGAAAAGCAGAGTCTTTAGTTTCTAAAAAACTAGGCCCTGGACAGATGTTCAGCCAGGGCACTACGGTCAAGGATATTTGGGCAAAAAAATCCCTTTTTGTGAAATCCTGACTTTTGGAACCCTGCAGTTTCACATAATCAAAAAATAAATACACAAAGTTGATCAACTGGAAACTTGAAAATGGAATATAAACAGAAACCAGTGAACCAATTGTATTTCAAATGACTAATAGTATCACACAGGATGGGTGGGAGATTAACCCCAACTAATGTTTAAACACCGTATTTATATTTATTTTTGTGTGTTTAGTCGCGTGCAACTCCTTGCGGCCTCATGGACTATATACCCCACCAGGCTCCTCTGTCCATGGAAGTTTCCAGGCAAGAATACTGGAGTGGGTTGCCATTTCCTACTCCAGGAGATCTTCCCGACCCAGGGATGAAACCCAGGTCTAGTACCTTCCTGCATTGGCAGGCAGATACTTGACCACTAGTACCACCTGAGAAGCCCTGTTTGGATTTATACCCTCAGTCTAAAGATAAGAAGAACTCTACACAAATAACCGAATTCTAGTTAACAGGCTTTGTTTTCTCAAAGATATAGGTTAGTAAGTCTGACTACTTTCTATGTATTCTAGGGCTGAACAAATAAGTAAATATATTGTGGGTAAGTAGAGTCAGGTTTCTTGCTGTTGAAGAGAGGAATAAGAAATATGAAAGGGGGGAAGAAACAGAATGAACTTTTTCATGATGGACAGGAATTAAGAGCATCAGTATGAACTAGTAATAGTAAACTTATATACTTATAGACAGGAAAGATATGTGTGTATGTATGTACACATCCATCCATTTTCTTGGTCTGTTCATTGAGAAGGCCTAGAAAGGCTGATAA